ACACCACTCGCTCTTTTTCTACCCGCATTAAAATACGGTGCTGCAACATGGACAGGGCCACTCTCTGCTTCTTGGTTTGCAACAGTGAAAAAGTGAACACAGAAGCCCTCTGAGCCAGCAGGGACACAGGGCAGGGGCCGACTGGTTCCTACCAGCAGGGAGGTGCAGGACAGCAGGGCCAGCGCCACGTGGGTGGGCATCGGGCAGCTCGGAACTCACTGTGGACCAGGGGCAAGTTGCAGGAGTACGTGCAGAGTATGGTGGAATTCAGGCGTGCCTCGAACGTGCGTGGTAGCACTGTATGCGTTTGTAGATGCTCAAATCTGGACCGGGAAGATGAGCCCCGCATTCTGGGAACAGGGAGAGGAGATTGTGTCTACTGCACCTTAGACATTTATGCAGGGCTGGGCACCTATAATCTCAGCAGTTTGGGAGGCCAAGGAAGGAGGATTGCTTGAGTCCAGGAGTTTGAGATCAGCCTGGGTAACACAGTGAGATCCCATCTCTACAAAAAGAAAGATAAACAAAAAACTTGCCAGGTTGCAGGGGACGGGTGTGGACATTCTAAATCAATACAGCAAAATGTTGAATTGGTTCGTTCCAGGAGGGTACATAGGTGTTATTTTCTGCTTGCCTGTTTGTTTGAGTATCTTGTGATTTAGAGCGTTTAAGACAGAAAATGGTCTTGCTGTATAATTCAGAAAAGTTCCCTGGGGTGTGTGTGTGTGTGTGTGTGTGTGTGTGTGTGTGTGAGAGAGAGAGAGAGAGAGAGAGACAAGATCTCATTTTGTCGCCCAGGCTGAAGTGCAATGGCGTGATCATGGCTCACTGCAGCCTCAACCTCCCGGGCTCAGGTGAGCCTCACCCGTCTGTCTCACAAGTAGCTGGGACTACAGGTGTGCACCACCACCCCTGGCTCATTTTTGTATTAGTGGAGATGAGGCTTCGCACGTTGCTCAGGCTGGTTTCAAACTCCTGGGCTCAAACAATCTGCCTGTCTTGGCCTCCCAAAGTTTTCATGAGGCGTATCTGAGGTCCAGGAATTTATTTATTTATTTATTTATTTTTATTTTTATTATTTTATTTTATTTTATTTATTTATTTTTTTTTTTTTTTTGAGGCGGAGTTTCGCTCTTGTTACCCAGGCTGGAGTGCAATGGCGCGATCTCGGCTCACCGCAACCTCCGCCTCCTGGGTTCAGGCAATTCTCTTGCCTCAGCCTCCTGAGTAGCTGGGATTACAGGCACGTGCCACCATGCCCAGCTAATTTTTTGTATTTTTAGTAGAGACGGGGTTTCACCATGTTGACCGGGATGGTCTCGATCTATCGACCTCATGATCCGCCCACCTCGGCCTCCCAAAGTGCTGGGATTACAGGCTTGAGCCACCGCGCCCGGCCTCCATCCAGTTTCCATTCTTATGAGAGCCTCGGTTTTAGAGACAGTAGGTACCCTCTGCCCCGGGTCTGGAGTGAGGCTGGCCCAGGAGCTGGGTGCCACTCACTGGGGTTGGTTGGCCTCCATGAAGCCGTGGCAGCCAAGTCTCCTGCAGTCACGCAGCTTTGTTTCTGGTGACTCAGAGATGGGAGAAGCCGCCAGGCCGTATCCACTCCCAGCTGGGTGAAAGGTAGGGAGCAGGTGTGCCCTCTGGCTGGAGAGAGGTGAAGTCCCTGCACGGGCCAGGAGTGTGGTCTCCTGCCTGGAGAGGAAGCACCTGGAAGAGGCTGATTGGGTGAGGCAGCAGGGGCCGGCACTGGCAGGGGGGGCAGGCACGGAGGTGGGGGGGGAAGGCGGGTCCTGGTGGGGGGCGGGCCCTGTTGGCAGGGGTGGGCCCTGGTTGGAGGGGTGCCCAGCTTTTCCTTTTTCATCCTTTTTATACCAGGCTCATAAAAACCTTGTTGGGTTGGGCAAGCAGGTGGTGACGTTCAGATATTTCCAGGTTGTGCCGGGTGAGGTGGCTCATGCCTGTAATTCAGCAGTTTGGGAGGATGAGGTGGGCAGATCACCCAAGGTCAGGAGTTCAAGACCAGACTGACCAACATGGAGAAACCCCGTCTCTACTAAAAATGCAAAACTAGCCGAGTGTGGTCGCGCATGCCTGTAATCCCAGCTCCTCAGAAGCCTGAGGCAGGAGAATCACTTTAACCTGGGAGGCACAGGTTGCAGTGAGCCAAGATAGAGCTATTGCAGTCCATCTCAAAAAAAAAAAAAAAAAGATATTTCCAGGTTGTGAGGAGTGGGGACTGGGTAAGGGGGCTTGAGCGTGGGCATGACCACCTTTCCACAGGCTCTGGCCCCAGAAACCTTTGCCCCTCCTGATTTTATCTTCCCTGGCCTCAGATGGGTAGTGCCGTTTCTCTGCTGCCAGGGTGGGCTATGGGGTGAAAAGTGTGTGCTTCTCTCCCTGGGAGGTGGGCACATGGGGTGCTTGGAGTATCTGAGGAGCTCTCCAAACATAAGATTTTGGAGCTCCGATTGCAGTGGATGAATGTTTCATTTCATTAAACACATTCTAAAACATCAGGAGATCTTGAATGTGCATAGAAGAGAGACCCTCCCTGGCTCGTGCGGTCCGGCCCTTCGTGGTGGTTCTCACGCATGACTCCTTCATGCCCATCCGTCCATTTGCCCCACCCCAAGTGATTTTGAAGCAAGTCCCATACATGATGAAAGATAAAATTAGGCTGGGCACAGTGGCTCACAGCACTTTGGGAGGCCAAGGTGGGTGGATCACCTGAGGTCAGGAGTTCGAGACCAGCCTGGCCTACAAGGTGAAACCCAGGCTCTACTAAAAATACAAAAATTAGCCAGGTGTGGTGTTGGGCACCTGTAGTCTCAGCTACTTGGGAGGCTGAGGCAGGAGAATCGCTTGAACCTAGGAGGTGGAGGTTATAGTGAGCCGAGATCAGGATACTGCATTCCAGCTTGGATGACAGAGCAAGACTGGGCCCCCCCCCCAAAAAAAAAAAAAAAGAATACAATTGCATGTATGAGTATTTCAGTACATATTGATAAAAGATGGGAAAACTTTTTTAAAATCGCCACTGCCTGAGAGCCATGGCTCACACCCCTGGTCCCAACTACTCAGGAGGCCAAGGCAGGAGGATCGCTTGAGCCCAGAGCTGCAGTGAGCTGTGAGGTTTTTTTTTGAGACGGAGTTTTGCTCTTGTTACCCAGGCTGGAGGGCAATGGCGCGATCTCGGCTCACCGCAACCTCCGCCTCCTGGGTTCAGGCAATTCTCCTGCCTCAGTCTCCTGAGTAGCTGGGATTACAGGCACGCGCCACCATGCCCAGCTAGTTTTCCTGAGCTGTGAGTTTTAAGAGACTCTGTCTCTTAAAAAACATAACCATAATGTCTTGTAATGCCTAAAAGTTAATTAACAGAAATTCCTTAATGCCATGAGGTAGCAGTTGTTTTGAATGTCTTTTTAAAAATTTAATTTAATTTTAGATTCGGGGGTACAAACGCCTGTTTGTTACATGAGTGTTTTGCATGCTGGTGGGGGCTGACTTCTAGTGTACCCAGAGTGCCCCTGATGAAAGGGAAGAGAATGAGCATTGTACCTGACAGGTAATTCTTCAGCCCTTGCCCTGCTTCCTCTCTTCCCTTTTGGAGTCCCCAGTGTCTGTTATTTTGATCTTTTTTTTAAAATTTTGAGACTGAGTCTCCCAGGCTGGAATACAATGGCCCAATCTCAGCTCACTGCAACCTCCGCCTCCTGGATTCATGGGTTCTCCTGCCCCAGCCTCCCGAGTAGCTGGGATTACACGCGTCCACCACCACACCCAGCTAATTTTTGGTATTTTTAGTAGAGACGGGGCTTCATCATGTTGGCCAGGCTGGTCTTGAACTCCTGACCTCAGGTGATCCACCCGCCTCAGCCTCCTAAAGTGCCGGGATTACAGGTGTGAGCCACACCCACCCGGCCTGTTATTTCCATCTTTATGTCCGTGGATACCCATTGTTTAGCTCCACTTATAAGTGAGAACATGTGGTATTCGGTTTTCTGTTTCTGAGTTAGTTCACCTAGGATAAAGGCCTCCAGTTGCATCCATGTCTCTGCAAGGGACATGATTTCATTTTTTTTTTTTTTTTTTTTTGAAACATAGTTTCGCTCTTGTTACCCAGGCTGGAGTGCAATGGCGCCATCTCGGCTCACCGCAACCTCTGCCTCCTGGGTTCAGGCGATTCTCCTGCCTCAACCTCCCAAGTAGCTGGGATTACAGGCATGTGCCCCCATGCCCAGCTAATTTTGTATTTTTAGTAGGGATGGGATTTCTCCACGTTGGTCAGGCTGGTCTAGAACTCCCGACCTCAGGTGGTCTGCCCACTTCAGCCTCCCAAAGTGCTGGAATTACAGGCATGAGCCATCGTGCCTGGCCTGATTTCTCTTTTTTATGGCTGCGGAATGAGTCCTTGATGTGACCAGAGCACTATGGTGGACAGGATATGGAAGAAAATAATAAGAAATCCACCCTCCGCCATTATATATTTGAGGAGAGAATGGTTGTATGCATAGACATTAAATAGAAAACACTTCCTGAGATAGTATATTTTGGTAACAGCTTTATTGAGACATTCATATACCATAAAATTCACCCATCTAACGTATACACTTCAGTGAGTTTGTTTGGGTTTTGAGACAGGGTCTTGCTCTGTTGCCCAGGCTGGAATGCGGTGGTGCAGTCACAGCTCTCTGCAGCTTCGACCTCACAGGCTCAAGTGATCCTCCCACCTCCTCAGCCTCCCTAGTAGCTGGGACTACAGGCACACATCACTGCACTCAGCTAATTTTTGTATTTTTTGCAGAGACAGTTTTGCTATGTTGCCCAGGCTGTCCGTGGTTTTTAGTATATCCACAGAGTTGGGCAACTATCACCACAATCAGTTTTGGAATGTCTTTCATTGCTCTAAGATACCCCACTCCTTACCCACACCTACCGACCTTCCCATCTGCCCCAAGCCCTGGTGACCACGAGTGCACTTCCTGTCTCTGTAGATTTGCCTGTTCTGGACATTTGGAATAAACAGAATCAGCAATACACGACCTCTGTGTGGCTTCTTCCATTCAGCATCACGTCTTCAGGGCCATCCGTGCTGCGGCAGGTGTGAGAGGTCCACCACTTGTCACTGCTGAATACCATTCCACGGTATGGATGGACACACTGTGTTTATTCATTCATCAGCAGAACGTGTTACCACTTTTTGGTTATCATGAATAATATTGTTGTGAATGTTCCTGTGTAAGCTTTTGAATGGACATGTTTTCAGTTCTCTTGGCTATATAGGTAGGAATGGAGTTGCTGGGTCATAGGGTAAGCGTTTTTTTTGTTTTTGTTTTTGTTTTTGTTTTTTGAGAGAGAGTTTCACTCTTGTTTCCCAGGCTGGAGTGCAATGGTGCAGTCTCCACTCACCACAACCTCTACTTCCCGGGTTCAAGTGATTCTCCTGTCTCAGCCTCCTCAGTAGCTGGAATTACAGGCACGTGCCACCACACCCAACTAATTTTGTATTTTTAGTAGAGATAGGGTTTCTCCATATTGGTCATGCTGGTCTTGAACTCCCAACCTCAGGTGATGCACCTACCTTGGCCTCCCAAAGTGCGGGGATTACAGGTGTGAGCCACGGTGCCAGGCCAGTAACTCTGTATTTAATCTTTTGAGGAAAGGACAGACTGTTTGCCAACGTGACCGCACCATTTGAGCAGCCGTGCATGAGAACACTGATTTCTCCACGTCCTTGCCAACACTTGTATCATCCGTCTCTGGGGTACCAGCCATTCTGGATGTGAAGGGCTGTTTTCCTGTGGTTTAGATTGGCACTCCCTGTTAGCCACGAGAGGTAGTCTCACACTTACAGTGGTCCCCCCTTATCCTTGGGGGATACATTCCAAGACCCCACATCAATGCCTGAATCTGTGGACACTACCAAACCTATACAGTCAGCTTGGTATCCTCAGGTTCTGCTTCTGTGGATTTAGCCCACCAAGGATTGAAAATATTTGACGGGGGCCGGGGAGGGGACAAGACAGTAACAAAAAATAATACAAAATTGAAAAAGACAGCGTCACTATTTACATAGCATTTACATTGTATTCGTTATTAGTAATTTAGACATGATTTAAAGTATGCAGGGCCGGGCGCGGTGGCTCAAGCCTGTAATCCCAGCACTTTGGGAGGCCGAGGCGGGTGGATCACAAGGTCAAGAGACCATCTTGGTCAACATGGTGAAACCCCGTCTCTACTAAAAATACAAAAAAAATAGCTGGGCATGGTGGCGCGTGCCTGTAATCCCAGCTACTCAGGAGGCTGAGGCAGGAGAATTGCCTGAACCCAGGAGGCAGAGGTTGCGGTGAGCCGAGATCGCGCCATTGCACTCCAGCCTGGGTAACAAGAGCGAAACTCCGTCTCAAAAAATAAATAAATAAATAAATAAATAAAGTATGCAGGAGGGTTGGGCTTGGTGGCTCACGCCTGTAATCCCAGCACTTTAGGAGGCTGAGGCGGGTGGGTCACCTGAAGTTAGGAGTTTGAGACCAGCCTGGCCAACATGGTGAAACCACGTCTCTACTGAAAATACAAAAATTAAGGCCAGGCGCAGAGGCTCATGCTTGTAATCCCAGCACTTAGGGAGGTCGAGGCAGGCAGATCACCTGAGGTCAGGAGTTTGAAACCAGCCTGGCCAACTAGCAATGCAAAATCACTAGGCTTGGGGGCTCATGCCTATGATCCCAGTACTTTGGGAGGCTGAGACGGATGGATCGCTTGAGTCCAGGAGTTCGAGACCAGTCTGGGCAAGGTGGTAAAACCCTGTCTCTACAAAAAAATAATGGTGGTGCATGCCTATAGTCCTAGCTACTCGGGAGGCTGAGGTGGGAAGATCACCTGAGCTTGGAGGGTAGAGGCTACAGTGAGCTATAACTGTGCCACTACACTCTAGCCTGGGCAATAGAGCAAGACTCCGTCTCAAAAAATCAAAACAAAAAATGATGCAAACCACAGCTGAGTGGGGACTGCTGTAGGTGTGGCTGTATTGCTGTTTTTAAGCATCAGGCCACTGATCCAGGCCGGAACCCGGGCTGGGATTTGTGCCCATTCCATCTGCACAGGAAGCTCCTCCAGCTTTCTTGGGTTCACTAATTTCTGTTCATGGCTCGAAGAGGGAGAGTCTGGGTCAGGATAGCCCATCTCAGCTCCTGCAGAAGTAGAAAACCAAATAGTGTGTCTCAGGGGCATTTAGGACTCTAGGGTTACCCTGAACCGGTCAAAATAAACAACTCCTTCATGAAATTCAGATTGCTCTGCAAGGGCGTTTCACTCCGGAAAGGACACTGTAATTACTGCCAGTCTCTCTTCCGATCAGAGGTTAGATTTCTGAGCAAGCGTGGGATACATACCTTTGGAGACTTGGCTGCAGACACTGTATTTAATCCACTGTCATGAATTATCCGTTTGTGTTCTGTGTGAATCCAAGGAGATCTTATCAGTCATGCAGAGGTGGCCCGTCCGGTCACTGTGTGACTGTGTTAGCCACAGGGCAGGCTCTGCAGAGTCGTCTTCCGGGATGCTCGCCTCCTGGTTACTGCGAAGCCTTTGATGGGGAAGGGGGCTAAGAGTTAACCCTGAGGCTAGGCTAGGTGACTCACAGCGGTAGTCCCAGCACTTTGGGAAGCTGAAGCGGGCAGATCATTTGAGCTCAACAGTTCGGGACCAGCCTGACCAACATGATGAAACCCCGTCTCTACTAAAAATACCAAAAATTAACCAGGCATGGTGGCAGGCACTTGTAATCCCAGCTACTCGGGAGGCTGAGGCATGAGAATCGCTTGAACCCAGGAGGTGGAGGTTGCCGTGAGCTGAGATGGCGCTATTGGATTCCAGGCTGGATGACAGAGTGAGACTCCATCTCAAAAAAAAAAACAAAAAAAAAAAACCAACCAAACAAACAGGAAGAGTTAACCTTCAGACTCCAGGGGAGTTTTTTTTTTTTTTTTTTTTTTTTGAGATGGAGTCTCACTCTGTCACTAGACTGGAGTGCAGTGGTGTGATCTCAGCTCACTGCAACCTCTGTCTTCCAGGTTCAAACGATTCCCCTGCCTCAGCCTCTTGAGTAGCTGGGACTAGCAGGCATGCGCCACCACATCCAGCTAATTTTATGTATTTTAGTAGAGATGGGGTTTTACCATGTCGGCCAGGCTGGTCTTGAATTCCTGGCCTCAAGCGATCCTCCCACCTCAACCTCCCAAAGTGTTGGAATTACAGGTGTGAGCCACCATGCCTGGCCCACACATATTGTTGATTGCTTTGCAAATTGCTCTAAGCTAAGGTTATAGCTGGTGGTATGCTGTTTCGCCACTGCATTCAGGTTCTGTGCTGATACCTGCCGGGTGTGTCATCCGGCCCAGCCCCTCCCTCGCTCTGGCAGTGCGTGGCATCTCCACCCGGATGTCCGGGCAACATTTCACATGTGGCAGCTCCAGGCATGAATACTCAGCTTCCACCCCCAGTCTGCCTCCTTCCCTCCCTGAGACTGTCCTGTGTCAATACCTAGCTCCACTGAGTGAGTGGCTCAAGCCAGGAGCCCGAGGGCCCATTTCATCAGCAGGTGAAGCTCAAGGTGCCTCTGCAGCCTGTCTCATGTGGGTCATTGTCCACACTGTCACCGTCTCTGTCACTGACAGACTGGGCCAGCCCCACGCACTTTCCTGGAAGACGGCCTCAGCTTCTTACTGGTCCTGCTTCCACATCCCCGTCCGTGCTCCATACAGCAGCCAGAGTGGTCTTTAGAGCAGAAATAGTGACAGGTTCCCCTTCTTCCAGGCGGTTGGATGCTTCTCCATTGCTAGCACAAAACCCTGCCACCTCCCACCGGCTGCCTCTGCCTTCTTCTCCAGACTTGGCCCCCTCCCCTTGATCCCAGCTGCCCGCCCTTTGACCCAACACCCTGCCCTTGCCCGTAGCTGTCTTGCCACTGACCCCAGCCACCTGCCCTTCCTGCCTCCAGCTCTATCCTGCCCTTCCCATGGCTCCTTCTCTTGGCCTCGCTGTCTCCCGGGAGGTCCCCTCGCACCTCCGCCTCTAGCACCCAAGCGCTGCTTACGTGTTGCCTGTTAGCCCCGTCTAAGTTGTGGGAGGGCAGAGGGACCTTTTCTGCCAGTGTCCAGCTCTTCTCCTCGGCTGGCACGTTGGAGGCAGTCAACAAACACTTGTTGCATGGACAGATGGGTGCCTCCCAGATCCTGGCAGCAGGTGGTTCTGTGCTCTGGTTCTGGTTGGTGGAGGACTGAGCCAGGCTGATTTCTGTAACAGGGGAATTTTTGAAACTGTGATAGTCACTGATTTTGACCTCGCCATCAGTGGGTGAAAACAGGAGCATCATCCTGTGGTGAGAACACACACACACACACACTTACACACTCAAACACACAACCCACACACACCACACTGCCCCACACCCACATCCACCCCTCCACACCACACACACATAGATGCACACCCACATACACACCACACACCCAATATACACACATACACCACACATACACACACATCCTCACACACACACACCACGCATACACACACCACACACATATATCACACATACACACACACACCCCCACACACATACACCACACATACACACACCACACACATACACCACACACATACACACACCCCCCCACACATACACCACACATACACACACCACACACATACACCACACACGTACACACACACCCCCACACACATACACCACACATACACACACCACACACATACACCACACACATACACACACATCCCCACACACACATACACCTCCACCCCCATGCACACACACACCATGCACACAAATATACACACACACCACACATACTATACACACCACACATGCAAATATACACACACATACACACCACACACACGTATACATACACCCCACACACACCACGCATATATACCTACACACACACACCACACGCACACACACCATACACACATACACACACCACATACATGCACACACAAGCACATACACCACACACAGACACGTAAGTTTTTAATTTTTATTGTGGTACTTGATCGTTTTTCCTCTTAGCTTCTCTTATTCATTTAGTACTTTGTGGCAGGAGGAGGTGGAGGTGGCACGGTGAGAAGGGCGGGAGCCATCGCCCCAGGGGCCCAGGAGGGGATGGAGGGGCCATGCCGTGCTGAGCGGCCGAGCCAAGGAGCCTGAAGCCAGGGCGAAGGGGACAGGAAGAATGGACCAGATTTCCCAGAGCAGTTTTCTGCAGTGGGCAGGGGGTGCTGTCCCGAGGGGTTGTGCCTGGGTCGGGGGTGCAGGCTCTGATATCCGTCCGACCTGTGGCTGCCCAGGCATGTTCCGCTTCAGCTGCTGCCCCCGAGGAAGGAGGCCCGCTCTGTCTGTGAGCACCCATTCCTAAGGCATCTGTGCATCTGACTTGCGGAGTCTTTGTGGGTCTTTCTGAAACCCTAGAACAGTTTCTCAAAAGAGCAGCCATGCAGGCCGAGCACACCGGCTCACGCTTGTAATGCCGGCACTTTGGGAGGCCCAGGTGGGCGGATCACCTGAGGTCGGAGGTTCAAGACCAGCCTGACCAACATGGAGAAACCCTGTCTCTACTAAAAAAAAAAAAAAAAGAAAAAGAAAAAAATTAGCGAGGCATGTTGGTGCACGCGTGTAATCCCAGGTACTCAGGAAGCCAAGGTAGGAGAATTGCTTGAACCCAGGAGGTGGAGGTTGCAGTGAGCCGAGATCAGGTCATTGCACTCCAGCTTGGGCGACAAGAATGAAACTTCGTCTCAAAAAAATAAAAAGAGCAGCTACACAGACACCAGAGGCAGAGGCATTTGGGCTCGCTGTGCACTCCCTACTGAAGTTCAGGGCCCAGGGCTGTCGGGGGCTCCTTCGTGGACACTCTGGGCTTTTAATGGCAGCCTCCAGGGACCTGGCTGCAAGATTGAGATTCGTCTGTGCTGTGTGAGTGGCCGGAGTGCCGCAGGCTTTGCTTCAGCAGTGGTGGCCTGGATGCTGGCTTGGAGGCGGGGTCGGGGGACTTCCAGGGGCAGGGGTTGGGGTGCCCCAGGCCTGGTTTCTGATGATCATCTTGGGCCCCTAAGCAGAGGCAGTGATTTTCTGTGTAGCAGCGGACAGGTGACGGGGTGCCCTCTGATGGAATTGGATCTGTTGACGGGAAGTATTATATCTATAAGTGGGGAGGAAAAACTTGCATTCAGAAGGAATGGCATTTCTGTATGAGGAGTTTTTTTTTTTTTAGTGTCTGGTCACACGTGCCACTGTCTTATATTTTCTCCTTCTGCTTCCAGGTGACCCCGGAAGATGGCAGAAGCTCACCAAGCTGTGGCCTTCCAGTTCACGGTCACTCCAGACGGGATTGACCTACGGCTGAGCCATGAAGCCCTTAAACAGATCTATCTTTCTGGACTTCACTCCTGGAAAAAGAAGTTCATCAGATTCAAGGTTTTCTGATATGTGTTGACGTCTACACAGTATGCCTCTTAATATCTAAGAACGGGGCTCTTGCAGCTGTTGAGGTCTGAGTGTTTCAGACTGGTCATTCCATGTGACTTACCTATTTTCATGGTGCTTAAGGCGTAGGGAACTCCTTCACGTAGCCTTTAGCTCACTGGGTGCTTGAAGCAGTTGGCAGTTCCGTAAGGCAGGTGGAGTGAGTTTGCACACTCTGAAGCGGGCCTGGAAGTGGACACTTCTATTAATAGAAGGCAGAGTAAAGACTAGAATTCACGTCTTCTCCTCTGACTCAGAATCCTTTACACCTTGTTCAAAAAGATTTTTTTTCAGGCAGGGTTCGGTGGCTCACACCTGTAATCCCTGCACTTTGGGAGGCTGAGGTGGGTGGATCACGTGAGCTTAGGAGTTTAAGACCAGCCTGGGCAACACGGCGAAACCCTGTCTCTACAAAAAAAATACAAAAATTAGGCTGGCATGGTGGCATGCATCTGTAGTCCCAGCTACTCAGGAGGCTGAGGGGGGAGGATCGCTTGAACTTGGGAGGCAGGGACTGCAGTGAGCCATGATTGAGCCACCAAATTCCAGCCTGGGCAACAGAGCAAGACTTTGTCTCAAAAAAAAAAAAAAAAAAAGGAAGTTTTCTAAACTTCAGCAAGTCGATGTAATAAGTACGTTGTTGATAAAGCATTCACGCGTAAGAAACGCTCCACGTAACTTCAAATACAGTTGAGTCCGCATGTTCTCAATTGTTTGTCTAAAGAAGTGGAACTTTTTTTTTTTTAAATAAGTGTTTTGTTTTTCCATGTATTGTAATTTATTTTAAACATTAAAGAAGGAATAGATGCATATTTGAAAACATGCAAACTAGAAGAAAGGTCATCAAGTTGAAAGTGGACACCCCCCACCCCCTGCCCCCCAGCCCCAGGGTTAGCTTAGTTCAGTTTGTGGACTTCCCAGTGCCCCTCTCTGAGGGCAGCACTAAAGTGGGCCACTGAGAAAGGCCTGAGCTCCAGAACAGGTGGCAGCAGGGACAGCGGAGAGGCAGGTGGGTCCTCCCTGGCAGCCAGCACACCTGCACGGGGGTCCCTGGGGCTCAGCCGGTGGGTTCTTGGGCCCAGATAAATAAGCCACTAGGGTGACATCCAGTCTTCCTGGCCTGGTCACCGGTGTGGTCCACCGTGGTGGAGGAGGCACCGCTACCGGGAGAGCTAAGCGAAACAGCTGGACTCGCTGAGAGCTGCGCTGTTCCACCCTGGAATCTGGGAAGATAGCAACGTGGATGCAGAGGCTTGGCCATCATATTCAATCCAATGCGAATGCCCTTCCTTCCCCTCCCCTCTCTCCCCTCCCCTCCCCTCCCCTCCCCTTTTTGAGACAAGCGACAGGGTTGCTCAGGTAGAGTGTAGTGGTACGATCATCATTCACTATAGCCTCAACCTCCTGGGCTCAGGCGATCCTCCTGTCTCATCCTCCCAAGTAGCTGGGACCATAGGTGCACACCACCATGCCTGGCTAACTTTTTTTTATTATTTTTTAAAATTATTTTATTTTATTTTTTTGAGACAGAGCCTCACTCTGTCACCCAGGTTGGAGAGCAGTGGCGTGATCTCAGCTCACTGCGACCTCTGCCTCCCGGGGTCAAGTGATTCTTCTGCCTCAGCCTCCTGAGTAGCTGGGACTACCACCATGCCCAGCTATTTTTTTGTATTTTTAGTAGAGATGGGGTTTCACCATGTTGGCCAGGCTGGTCTTGAACTCCTGACTTCAGGTGATTCACCAGCCTCGGCCTCCCAAAGTGCTGGGATTACAGGTGTGAGCCACTAGGCCTGGCCTGCTTTAGTCATTTTTAATCCATTATCTTGGTCAAATCAATATCTTATTAGGATGCTTTAGTAAGAATTTTTTAAAATTGGAGTTGTCAAACATACACAAGAGTGAGGAAGAACAATTAATAATTCCACCATTCCCTTCCTTGTTTTAACCAATTTTGTTTGACATAATCCTTTTTTATTATTATTATTGGCTGGATTATTTTACAGCAAATTCTTGACATGGAGTGATGGCTAGGCACAGTGGCTCATGCCTGTAATCCTAGCACTTTGGGAGGCCAAGGTGGGGCGGATCACCTGAGGTCAGTAGATCGAGACCAGCCTGATGAAATGGTGAAACCTCATCTCTAAAAAACAAAAAAAAAAAGACATGGAGCGGGGTCTCCCGTGAAATCTTCAGGCTGCAGCAACCTTCCGACACGGATGGCAGGAGGAGCAGTTTTGGAGCTGGGATCTCAGCACATTCTAGACAGTAGCAGGCCGGGCAGGGGACTTCCTGGTGGCTCAGTGGCATCCTTCACCAGCTAAACTCCTGCCTGAGCTGATTCTCACGGCCTGGGGTGTCCACTCGGGGAAGGTTTCAGGGTGGGTTTTGGCTCAGAAGCAGAGGAAGGGAGGAAACTGGAACCGCTGCAGGCTGTAAACTCTGGGGAGAGTCCCAGCTAGTGGGGCGTGGTGTCTTAGCAGACACCCTCTCCTCACTGCCTGGCGTCTCAGCATCCCTATTGCTGGGGTCGTGGAGCGTCGTTGCCCTGGGGGCTGTGCGGGGGCGCCACTCACGGCCTGTGTGTCTGTCTTTAGAATGGCATCATCACTGGCGTGTACCCGGCGAGCCCCTCCAGTTGGCTTATCGTGGTGGTGGGCGTGATGACGACGATGTATGCCAAGATCGACCCCTCATTAGGAATAATTGCAAAAATCAATCGGACCCTGGAAAGGACGTAAGTAACCCTGTGAAATCTCCAGTTGTCTGGGAAGTCACCAGTTTTGTTTTTTTCGGGTTTTTTTTTTTTTTTTTTTTTTTGAGACAGTCTCTCTCTGTCACCTGGGCTGGAGTGTAGTGACACGACCTCGGCTCACTGCAACCTGTGCCTCCTGGTTCAAGCAAGTCCCTGCTTCAGCCTCCTGAGTAGCTGGGGTTACAGATGCCCCACCACACCAGGCTAATTTTTATATTTTCAGTAGAGACAGGGTTTCACCATCTTGGCCAGCCTGGTCTTGAACTCCTGACCTCGTGATTCACCCACCTCAGCCTCCCAAAGTGCTGGGATTACAGATGTGAGCCACCACACCCGCCAGAAGTTACTGATTTTATTGCTGTTTTTATGTCTCTTCAATTGTGGTGATTGTCACTGTTCTGGATTTCATGCGAGGCCCTGATGCTGTTCTCACATCAGCTTTCTTCCCGTTTCCTGGGTGGCGTTAAGGTCCCCTAGGAGTTTGCGGGCCCCTGCAGCCCTTCCTCTGAAGACCAGGGTGAGAAGAGTGGTCGTGGTCCTGGGGCACCCCTCAGAAGGTGTCAGGGCGCAGGGAGTTGCCAGCAGTGACAGCGTCCTTAGCCCGGACGGTAGGGCTCTGACACGGAATTTCTGCTCGGGAGGTTAATTCCCAGTGTGGTCATTTCTTTGTTCTTGGAGTCAGTTCATCCCAGAGTTCTGCGACCCTTGAACGGACTGCTGTAGGGTCCTCTGCTGGGACCTCACCCACTTAGCTCTCTGTCAGGCTGGTTTAGAAATCTCCAGGTGACCTCCGCCGTCACTCCCGCCCCTAGGGGTTTAGATTTTCCTGAGGGTTTGAAAGCAGGCTCTCTTGCTACCAAGACATAAGGCCCAGCGACACTTTAGGTAACATTCAGCACATGTTCTTTTTCTTTCTTTTTTTTTTTTTTTGAGACGGAGTCTTGTTATGTTGTCAGGTTGAAGTGCAGTGGCACAGTCTCGGCTCACTGCAACCTCTGTCTCTCGGGTTCAAGTGATTCTCCTGCCTCAGCTTCCTGGGATTACAGGCACCCGCCACCATGCCCAGCTAACCTTTTTTTTTTTCTTTTTTCGAGATGGAGTCTTGTTCTGTCGCCAGGCTGATGTGCAGTGGTGCAGTCTCAGCTCACTGCAACCTCCGCCTCCTGGGTTCAAGCGGTTCTTCCTGCCTCCGCCTCCCGGGTTCAAGCGGTTCTTCCTGCCTCAGTGGGGATTACAGGCACATGCCACCACGCCCAGCTAATTTTTGTATTTTTAGTAGAGATGGGGTTTCGCCATGTTGGCCAGGATGGTCTCGATGTGCTGACCTGATGACCCGACCACCTTGGCCTCCCAAAATGTTGGGATTACAGGCGTGAGCCACTGGGCCTGGCTATTTTTTTTCCAAATACCTGCTGGCTGTTGATAGCACACATGTGTTGCACACCTGTGATGTCCGTTATTCCATCCAGTTCTGGAGATGGTCCAGACTCCCATTGAGGAGGGTCAGACCCTGCACTGCAGTGACCTCTCACTGGTAAATGCTTCCTTTACCAGTGAGGAAGCATTCAGACAGGTGCAAGTGTCTGCCCGAGTCACAGGAAGAGGGAGCGGGGAAGCTGGAATTCAAACCCAGCTTTGCCCAGCTCTGAAATCTGTGCTTTCTTCAGTGTACCCCTGAGGTCCCCCTATCCCCTGCCCCAGAAGCTTCCATGAGACAAATGCAAGTGAACACTGCTGCTTTATTGCCATTTGAGCCTCCAGACGGTGGAACGTGGGGAGACTCAGTTTCCCTGTGCAGCTGTGACCCTTGCACTTGGACACACATTTTACTTTCTGGTCCAAAAGCTCCACGGTGTCTCGGAAGGATCCCTGCTGCACTTAGGCGTTTGGTTCGATTTCTGTGCTGCTCGTTTGCCCCAATGGCATTTTTGGTCTAGAGGGATAACAACCCCCAACTGCTCCTAACTGGGCTTTGTTTTGGGGGCCAGGAGTTGCAGGTGGAAGGCACAATGTTGGGGTCAGGGCTCAGCTCAATGAAGCTCTGGATCTTTAGAATCACGCCTTCCAGATTGTTTGCATACAAATATTGTTTGATCAGAAACAAATCAGAAAATAAACTGGCAGAAAAAGTGACATAAACGAAAACTCACTCAGTTAATGGCTGACTTTGATGTTTTTGGGTCGGGGGGTGGAGGGCGTTTTTGCTCCGTTACCCAGGGTGGAGTGTAATGGCTCGACCTTAGCTCACTGCAACCTCCGCCTCCTGGGTTCAAGCGATTCTCTCGACTCAGCCTCCCGAGTAGCTGGGACTGCAGGTACCCACCACCATGCCCGGCTAATTTTTGTATTTTTCATAGAGGTGAGGTTTCGCCATGTTGACCAGGTTGGTCTCACACTATTGACCTCCGGTGATCCACCCGCCTCAGCCTCCTGAAGTGCTAGGATTAATAGATGTGAGCCAGCATGCCCGGCCTTGATTCTGATGACTAGAAATAAAAGATTAAGCAGATTAATGGTCTGAATCTTCCAAGGGCAAGTTGAGCAGGTGCCCTGATTCCTGAACCCCTTTTTGCAAAGAGTCTGCAGAGGACCCCTCCACACCCTGTTCCTTCTCCAGGAAGCCCCCAGACCCTCCAGAGTCATCGAGAGTGCAGCTGAGTGCTCGCACCCTTGAGGTGGCCCAGGCCTCTATAAGTGTCTGCAAGAGACAGAATGGAAGTTCCCAGTCATTTTATAAGCATACCTGGCCAGGATGCCTGCCAGGTTCCTTGTCTGCCTGGGAACTGCTGTCATTGTTGTCACCCAGAAAGCAGTTGGCAGACCTGGGCACCTGGGCGCTCCCTTCCTTGAGGTCACAGCAGCCTCAGGGCTGCAATGGACAGCTGCCTCCGAGCCTTGTGTATGCAGCTCTCCCTACGGACTTTCTGTTCTCTCATGGGGTTAATGAATAATAAAGTTTTTTTTTTTTTTTTTGAAGCTGAGTTTCTGTCCCCCAGGCTAGAGTATAATGGCATGATCTCAGCTCACTACAACCTCCGCCTCCCAGGTTCAAGCAGTTCTCCTGCCTCAGCCTCTTGAGTAGCTAGGATTACTGGCACATACCACCACGCCTGGCTACTGTATTTTGTATTTTTAGTAGAGACAGGGTTTCATCATATTGCCCAGGCTGGTCTTGAACTCCTGAGCTCAGGCAGTCCACCTGCCTCGGGCTCCCAAGTGGTAGGACTTTTTTTTTTCTTTTTTTTTTTTTTTTGAGACGGAGTTTCGCTCTTGTTACCCAGGCTGGAGTGCAATGGCGCTATCTCGGCTCACCGCAACCTCCGCCTCCTGGGCTCAGGCAATTCTCCTGCCTCAGCCTCCTGAGTAGCTGGGATTACAGGCACGCGCCACCATGCCCAGCTAGTTTTTTTTTGTATTTTTGGTAGAGACGGAGTTTCACCATGTTGACCAGGTTGGTCTCGATCTCTCGACCTCGTGATCCACCCGCCTCGGCCTCCCAAAGTGCTGGGATTACAGGCTTGAGCCACCGCGCCCGGCCTTTTTTTTCTTATTGAGATAGAGTCTCACTCTGTCGCCCAGGCTGGAGTGCTGTGGTGCGATCTCGGCTCACTGCAACCTCCTCCTCCCAGGGTCAAGTGATTTTATTGCCTCAGCCTCTTGAGTACCTAGGAGTACAGGCACACACCACCATGGCCAACCAATTTTTGTAGTTGGTAGAGACAGGGTTTCGCCATGTTGGCCAATTTGTTCTTGAACTCCTGACCTCAAGTGATCCACCCACCTCATCCTCCTAGAGTGCTGCGATTACAGGCATGAGCCACTGTGCCTGGCCCAGATCTTTAATGTACTCTCTAGTGTAGGCTCCCTCTTAAAACTGGATTATATTTAGAAGTGTCGACTATTTAAAGCCTTTAATAATCTGAGTCTTAGTAAGATTTGCTTCTTTGTCCCTCTTAAACCTATTTTGGTAAACTGGGCCATGCCTGGCCTAAATTTAGAAAGGCGGGGTTAAAGGCCAGTGTCTTCAAGTTTCGTGGGCCGATCCAGAGCTGCCATCCTGGAGTGGACTGCAGTGACCCTGGGCTGCTGCCTTCAATCGTGGAGTCAGGCTGGGCGTGGTGGCCTGTAATCCCAGTACTTTGGGAGGCCGAGGCACCAGGATTGCTTGAGCCTAGGAGTTCAAGATCAGCCTGGGCAGCATAGTGAGATCCCCATCTCTTAAAGAAAAGAAAAAAGTGGAGTCATACATGTCATGTGGGATTTGTCCCTAAGTTTGCCCCCAACAGACTTGTTTCTTGTGTGTGTGTGTGTGTGTGTGTGTGTGTGTGTGTGTGTGTGTTTTCCCCAACAGACTTGAAAGGAGCATGTTATTTCAAAGAAAGCTTTTTGCTGATGTTTTTTATCTAAGTGCCTATGCGTCTATATTTTTTAAAATCTCGAATGTGTCATTTATTTGTACATGCTAAAATACTACTTTATTTTTGTAAATCAAGTAAGTATATAGATCTTTTTCCTTTGGTAATCTAAAATGTAGATTATCTAAACGATAACTTCTTAAATCCCTAAACCCAAGTTCGCTTGCAGATTAGATGACCAGAAAAGAGCAGATAGGTTTAAAGTAGAGACTCCAGTTAAACTCGAGTGCTAGATTTGACGGGTTACAGAAAGATAGCATGTTTTGAAGCAAGAGTACTTAACCTTGAAGATAATTTGTTTGTGTCACTTAAATATTATGCAATCTTAAATTCGTGGTTTTCTTTTTTTAAAATTTCTTATTTTGAATTATTTTGTTTTCTTTTTTAAATCTTATTTTTGTACTGATGGGGTTTGGCCATGTTGCCCAGGCTGGTCTTGAACTCCTGGACTCAAGTGATCCACCCATCAATGGCCTCCTAAAGTGCTAGGATTATAGACTTGTGCCACTGCGCCTGGCCAAATTAGTGCTTTTCAAATATTGGAGATACCTTTAGGTTATATATATTGGTGTTTTAATCATTTGAAGGCTGCATAAATAGTTTTTATTTTAAAAATATTTTGCAGTTCCCAAAACAACCAAAACTAAAACAAACCACAAAATAGCTGCATTTCTAGCCAGGCACAGCGGCTCACACCTGTAATCCCAGCACTTTGGGAGGCCGCAGCGGGCAGATCACCTGAGGTCAGGAGTTTGAGACCAGCCTGGGCAATATGGTGAGACCTAATCTGTACAAAAAATACAAAAATTAGCCTGGGTGTGGTGGCGTGCACCTGCAGTCCCAGCTACTCGGGAGGCTGAGGTGGAAGAATTGCTTGAACCCAGAAGGCGGAGGTTGCAGTGAGCCGAGATTGCACCACTGCACTCCAGCCTGGGCAGCAGAATGAGACTCCATCTCAAAAAAAAAAAAAAAAGAGAGAGAAAAAGCTGCCTTTCATCTCATTTTTAAAGTCCCATCTTTACCATCAAATATATTCCTTTCCTTCACAAATAAAAACATTTCCTATACTTAAGTGGACTATTTACATGACCAGTTTACATGGTCTGTTCTTTATTCGTGTTAAATATGCCTAAGTCAAAAACAAGCTCTTCTGAGGTAACTACTGGAGCCAATAGTTGTAACAAATGATCTGAGATGACGATTACATCTAAAAGTAAGTTTGAGAGGAAAAAAATCATAAAGAGCGGAAGAAAGTGGCTCAGAATTTCTTTCGCACCTGCTGGGGAGGCGCAGGTCAGCAGGGCGTGGTGATCGCAGTGGCTGGTCCTAGCCTTACCATCCCCTCTGCTGTTGGTCCTGAGGTCCTGGAGGAAGTATATCTTTTTCCAGATGACACAAAGTAACCCAGGTTGGTTTCAAGGCCAACAAAGCAGATTGAGCTTTGTTTTCTTTTTTTCTTTTTTCTTTTTTTTTTTGTGACACGGAGTTTCGCTCTTGTTACGCAGGCTGGAGTGCAATGGCACGATCTCGGCTCACCACAACCTCCGCCTCCTGGGTTCAGGCAATTCTCCTGCCTCAGCCTCCTGAGTAGCTGGGATTACAGGCACGTGCCACCATGCCCAGCTAATGTTTTGTATTTTTAGTAGAGACGGGGTTTCACCATGTTGACCAGGATGGTCTCGATCTCTCGACCTTGTGATCCACCCGCCTCGGCCTCCCAAAGTGCTGGGATTACAGGCTTGAGCCACCGCGCCCGGCCTGTTTTCTTTTTCAAATTTTATTTTTGTATTGATGGGGTTTGGCCTATGTAGCCCAGGCTGGTCTCGAACTCCTGGACTCAAGGGATCCAACCATCTCGGCGTCCCAAAGTGCTAGGATTATAGACATGCGCCACTGTGCCTGGCCAAGGGAGGCTGAAGGGACTCCAGGAAGAGAGCAGACAGGCCTGCCGCCAGCGCCCAGGTCTGCCAGCTGCTTTCAGCATGATTGGTTTCGGGGCAAGGAGGAGAGTCCCGTGAGTGTTTGGAGAGCTCGGTTCCTGCAGGTGCTCTCCCTCTGACTTTCCCAGCTCTACCTGGGCCCTGCAGCACATGGTGTATGTCGGTGGCATCAGCGGCATGGATGGCACCGTGTGGCCACATGCACAGCCTCCCTTGTCTGGGTCTGCCTCCGCAGCGACTGCATGTCCAGCCAGACGAAGAACGTGGTCAGCGGCGTGCTGTTCGGCACCGGGCTGTGGGTGGCCCTCATCGTCACCATGCGCTTCTCCCTGAAAGTGCTGCTCTCATACCACGGGTGGATGTTCGCTGAGCATGGCAAGATGAGTCGCGCCACCAAGATCTGGATGGTAATTGCATGTCCCTCTGGCTGTGGAGTGGGATGGACGGTTTGGGCTTTGTGATGAAGGTCACCCTTGGGGACCTTCTCTCCGTCGATGCTTGGTTGCTGACGTGGACCTTGGCCCCTAATGGCTGGAGAGGTTTGAGTCACCATGATGCAAAAGCGGGGGCCAAAGAGTGCTTCCCTTTTGTGACATGAGTGAGATCTACAGCGTTTTATATTGAGGTCTCCTGGGTTTGTAGTTCAGATCATTCATCATATGGAAGTGCTGTCCGTCCGGTTCTTTGTAGCATTCTTTTTTTTTTTTTTTTCTGAGACGGAGTTTCGCTCTTGTTACCCAGGCTGGAGTGCAATGGCGCGATCTCGGCTCACCGCAACCTCCGCCTCCTGGGTTCAGGCAATTCTCCTGCCTCAGCCTCCTGAGTAGCTGGGATTACAGGCACACGCCACCATGCCCAGCTAATTTTTAGTATTTTTAGTAGAGACGGGGTTTTACCATGTTGATCAGGATGGTCTCGATCTCTTGACCTCGTGATCCACCCGCCTCGGCCTCCCAAAGTGCTGGGATTAGAGGCTTGAGCCACCACGCCCGGCTCTTTGTAGCATTCTTGACTCACTTGTTGTCAGGCACTAAATGGTTACCTTAGCTCACCCCTGGCAGGCTCCCATGACTAAGACTTAGCTTCCGGAATGTTCCCTCGGCTTGCTTTGGCCCTAAGCCCAAGGGTTCTTTATTTAAGGTACTGGCTTTGCCATGTATGTGGTTGCTTGTCTAAATTTCATGATTTAAATGGTTTTTTTTTTTCTTTTTCTTTTTTCTTTTCTTTTGTTTTATTTATTTATTTTTTGAGACAGAGTTTTGCTTTTGTTGCCCAGGCTGAAGTGCAATGGCGCGATCTCAGCTCACTGTAACCTCTGTTTCCCAGGTTCAAGCAATTCTCCTGCCTCTGCCTCCCAAGTTGCTGGGACTGTAGGCACACACCGACACGCTCAGATAATTCTGTATTTTTAGTAGAGACGGGGTTTCACCATGTTGGTCAGGCTGGTCTTGCACTCCTGACATCAGGTGATCCACCCACCTCACCTCGGCCTCCCAAAGTGCTGGGATTATAGGCATGAACCACCCCACATGGCTTTGTTGTTGTTTTTTTTTTTTTTGGAGACAGGGTCTTGCTCAGTTGCCCAGGCTGGAGTGCAGTGGCACAATCATGGCTCACTGCAGCCTCGACCTCCTGGGCTCAAGTGATTTTTGCCCCCCAGACTCCCAAGTAGCTGGGACTATTGGCACACACCACCATGCCTGGCTAATTTTTGCATTTTTCTTTTTTTTAATTTTTTTTTTAAAGATGGGGTTTCACCAAGATGGCCAGGCTGGTCTTGAACTCCAACCTCAGGTGATCCACCCACCTCGGCCTCCCAAAGTGCTAGGATTACAGGCGTGAGCCACCGCACCCGGCCAATTTTTGCATTTTTCAGTAGAGACGGGGTTTCGCCATGTTGGACAGGCTAGTCTCAAACTCCTGAGCTCAAGAGATCTGCCCGGGCCGTGTGCAGTGGCTCACGCCTGTAATCCCAGCACTTTGGGAGGCCAAGGCGGGTGGATCACGAGGTCAAGAGATCGAGACCATCCTGGTCAACATTGTGAAACCCCGTCTCTACTAAAAATACAAAAAATTAGCTGGGCATGGTGGCGCACGCCTGTAATCCCAGCTACTCAGGAGGCTGAGGCAGGAGAATTGCCTGAACCCAGGAGGCGGAGGTTGCAGTGAGCTGAGATCGCACCATTGCACTCCAGCCTGGGTAACAAGAGCGAAACTCCGTCTCAAAAAAAAAAGAGAGATCTGCCCACCTCAGCCTCCCAAAGTACTGGGATTACAGGCGTGAGCCATCACACCTGGCCTCCATTTCAATGTTTTTATGGGGGTCAGGCACAGTGGCTTCTGCCTATAATCCTAGTACTTTTGGAGGTGAAGCTGGGTGAACCACTTGAACTCAGGAGCTAGAGACCAGCCTAGGCAACATGGCGAAGCCCCGTCTCTACTAAAAATACAAAAATTAGCCAGGCAAATTAGCCAGGCATGGTGGTGCATGCCTGTAATCCTAGCTGCTCGAGAGGCTGAGGTGGGAGGATCGCTTGAGCCCAGGAGGTCAAGGCTGCAGTGAGCTGTGTTTATGCCACTGCACTCCAACCTGGGCAACAGAGCCAGACCCTGTCTCAAAATATATATATTTGTGTATGTATATATATATATATGTTTATATCTGAGCACATAAATATATGTGTGTATATGTATATTTATTTACACATATCCGGCCCCAGAGACCCAGGTTGGGCTTGAGGTGCTGAGCAAAGCCCAAGGCCCAGGGGCCACAACTACACTGGGCAGATGGCCAGTGTATATACATATATATACACACACGTATATGTTTATGTGTATATATGTATATATACACATGTATATGTATATGTGTATGTACGTATATATACACACACGTATATGTATATGTGTATGTATGTATATACACACATGTATATGTATGTGTGTATATATACACACATATGTATATGTATGCATGTAACACACTTATAGGTATATGTTTATGTACGTATATATACACATGTATATGTATATGTACCTATATATACACACACGTATATGTATATGTGTATGTACGTGTATATATACACACATATGTATGTGTATGTACATTATGTACACACAGGTATATGTATATGAGTATGTACGCATATACATACATGTATATGTATGTGTGTGTATATATACACACATGCATATGTATATGTGTATGTACGTATATATACACATGTATATGTATATGTGTATGTATGTATATAACACAGGTATATGTATATGTGTATGTACGTATATACACACAGGTATATGTATATGTGTATGTACGTATATATACACATATGTATATGTGTGTATATGTGTATGTACGTATACACACGTATATGTATATGTGTGTGTACATATATATACACACGTATATGTATATGTTTGTACATGTATATACACACGTATATGTATATGTGTATGTACGTATATATACACACACGTATATGTATATGTGTATGTACACATATATACACACACACATATATTTATGGGCTTAGGTGTTCTGAAAATAAACCCTCCAAGGTGGGCATCATCTCTGAACTTTTGAGGCCCCCCGGGGACTCAGACCCCTGTGACCCCTGCAGGCCCGCAAGCTGGCGTGTGCCCCGTGTGCCATCTGCCCAGTGTAGTCATGGCCCTGGGCCTTGGGCTTTGCTCAGCACCTCAAGCCCAACCTCGGTCTTTGGGGCTGGACATGTGTAAAGAAACGTCTGCTTTTTTCACCCCTGTCTTGCCATGTGGTCTAAATGGACCGAGTAATCACGAGGAAATTTTCTGCAGAATCTTCCTTGAATGGGGCTGCTCCATGGCTCTGCCAGTGTGTATGAAGCCGTGCGTCTGCTTTGCTTTCCCGTCTGCCCCGACCTTGGCTCCGGGGCTCTTCTGTTCAGTCGCCTCGGGGCGGCCCTGCAGTGGTACCTGCCTGGGCTGGGCTGCTGTCCCAACCTCCGGGGAGCCTGCTTGTGAGGGAAGCGAGGGAGTCACCACAATGTCAGCCATACACCCAGGCTCTGCTCTTTCCCAAACACATTTTTTTTTTTTTTTTTTTTTTTTTGAGATAAGAGTCTTGCTCTGTTGCCCGGGCTAGGGTGCTGTGGTGCGATTTCAGCTCCTCCGCGTCCTGGGTTCAGGTGATTCTCCTGCCTCAGCCTCCTGAGTAGCTGGGACCACAGGCACATACCACCATGCCTGGCTAATTTTTTGTATTTTTTAATAGAGATGAGGTTTTACCATGCTGGCCAGGATGGTCTCGATCTCCTGACTGAACGATCTACCTGAGTCGGCCTCCCAAAGTGCTGGAATTATAGGTGTGAGCCACCGCACCCGGCCCAATTTTTTTTTTTTTTTTTTTTTGATTTGAGACAGCATCTTGCTCTGTCGCCCAGGCTGGAGTGCAGTGGTGCGATCTCAGCTTATTGTAACCTCCGCCTCCCGGGCTTAAGCGATCCTCTCACCTCAGCCTCCAGAGTAGCTGGGACCACAGGCGCATACCACCACGCCCAGATAATTTTTTGTATTTTTAATAGAGATGGGGTTTCGCCATGTTGGCTCCGTGGTCTTGAATTCCTGGGCTCAAGCGATCCACCCTCCTCGGCCTCCCGAAATGCTGGGATGACAGGTGTGAGCCACCGCGTCTGGCCAAACAAATTTTTTCTCCCAAATCAATTTTCTACCATTTGGATGTAAAATTTCTGATTTGTAGAGAAGCAGAATTTAGCACCTAGAAGACTCGGGTGGCTTCCACGCTTGGCAAAGCTGGCTGAAGGGCACGCCCTCCGGTGGGTTCGAAGCCGAGGTTCAGCTGAGTCCCAACAGCCTTTGGCACCAGACTCCTCACCAGGGCCGAGGACTTCCTTTTTGGGTTGGCATTGAGGTGACTGATTAGTATCAGGCTTGATCATCTAGCCTAAAACCAAGGGCCACAAATGTGCCCTCCGGGAGGCTTGGCAGGGACTGGAAGAAAGACAGTGCTTTCCCTGGGCTTGGCTCAGGGACAGGCACTTAGGCCCAGCTCCCTGTTCCTGGAGCCAATCCTGAAATGAAGGGCCTTGCAGAAGGTGGTGGGGTGACACTTACCTTAGCTGCAGAAGCACACGGTCAGGGGCCTGGCCGGCCACGACGCTGGCAGCGGCGTCCCACAGCCTCCATCAGGCTTGGCTGGGATTCCACCCGGTTTTCCTGTTTGTTTGCTTTTGTTTTGCCTGTTGAGACAGGGTCTCACTATGTTGCCCCGTCTGGAGTACAGTGGTGTGATCACAGCTCACTGCGGCATGGACCTCCCAGGCTCAATCAGTCCTTTCATCTCAGCCTCCCAAGCAGCCGGGACATCAGGCACATGCCGGCACGCCTGGCTAATTTGTTGCCTTTTTTTGTAGAGTTGGGGTTTTGCCATATTGCCCAGGTTTTCATTGGCGGGGGGTGGGGGCGGAGGGTTACATGCTTGCTTGCTAGAATCTGTAGGCACGGTGGCGGGTAGAAGATGGACCAGATGAAAAATAAATCAACACAGAAAATCCGTAAGTGGTTGGCACGTTGCGTGCCCTGGAAATGTGGCTTCAGACCCCTTTAACATAGCTTGTCTTTGAAAATGTTATTCTCCCATCCAAGTACCAACCAGGCCCGACCCTGCTTAGCTTCCACGATCAGACCAGAACAGGTGCGTTCAGGGTGGTCTGGTGATAGGCTGAAAATAGAATTCTCTCTCTTCAGGGTATGGTCAAGCTCTTTTCAGGCCGAAAGCCCATGCTGTACAGCTTCCAGACGTCGCTGCCTCGCCTGCCGGTCCCGGCTGTCAAAGACACTGTGAACAGGGTAGGTGTGGCTTAGGCCTCACGCCGAAACACCAGGCATCTGTGGATGAAGGCTTAGGTCTTAGTTACGATGAACTAGGCCACCACCATTGGGCAATAGGAGCCTTTAGCCGTGTGCCTGGTAGCGTTCTCATAGAAAGTCTTTTTTTTTTCCTTCCAATGCATCGCTGCCACATCTTAGATGTTTTTAAAAAAGTACTGTTTCATAGAGAAACTGCTCGGTGCATTTTTTTAAAGTTTTATTTCATTTTATTTATTATTATTTTAAAGATAGGGTTTCACCATGTTGGCCAGGATGGTCTCCATCTCCTGACCTTATGATCCACCCGCCTCAGCCTCCCAAAGGGCTGAGATTACAGGCGTGAGCCACCGCGCCTGGCCTTACTTTATTTTTTGAGAGGGACTCTTCCTCTGTCACCCAGGCTGGAGTGCAGTGGTGCAATCTCAGCTCACTGAAACCTCCACCTCCCTGGTTCAAGCATTCTCCTGCCTCAGCCTCCTGAGTAGCTGGGATTACAGGTGCGTGCCACCACGTCTGGCTAATTTTTGTATTTTTCATAGAGACAGGATTTCACTATATTGGCCAGGCTGGTCTCGAACTCCTGATCTCAAATGATCCACCCACCTTGGCCTCCCAAAGTGCTGGGATTACAGGCTTGAGCCGCTGCACCTGGCCCTCCCCATCTCTGCTCTTCTGTGCCCAGGCTTGCCAGTCAGGGCTGATGGCGGCCCCTGTTCCACTGGCAGGATGTGGGGAGGGTGAGACGCTCAGCCTTCAGTGACCTCCGTCTGTGTTGTGTAGCTGAGGGTTCCACTTCAGCACACTCAGAGCATGCTTTTCTGTCTCATTCACGGGCACTTTGAATAGGCCTCAAGATGCTTGACAGCTGGCCCCTCCACGTTTCTTCGGAGACAGTCACTCTCTCGCCCAGGCTGGAAGGCAGTGGCGCCGTCTAGCTCACTGTAGTCTCGAATTCCTGGGCCTGAGTGATCCTCCTGCCTTAGCCTTCCAAGTCACTGGGACCACAGGTGTGCACCAGTATGCCTGCAACTAGTTTTTTGTAGAGATGGGGGTCTTACCATGTTGTCCAGGCTGGTCTTGAACTCCTGGGCCCAAGCAGTCCTCCCGATTCAGCCTCCCAAACTACTGGGGTTACAGGCTGAGCCAGCATGCCCAGCCACAACTGCTCCTTTTAAGGGAGTGGGGTCTTACTTTTCAACGTACAGGGAGGGGCCCTAGGAAGATTACTGTTGCACCAAGCCTTTATTTTTTATAGCAGACAACTTGTTGGATTAAAATATTCCATGATGGGCCGGGCGCGATGGCTCACGCCTGTAATCCCAGCACTTTGGGAGGCCGAGGCGGGTGGATCACGAGGTCAAGAGATCGAGACCATCCTGGTCAACAAGGTGAAACCCCGTCTCTACTAAAAATACAAAAAATTAGCTGGGCATGGTGGTGCGTGCCTGTAATCCCAGCTACTCAGGAGGCTGAGGCAGGAGAATTGCCTGAACCCAGGAGGCGGAGGTTGCGGTGAGCCGAGATCGCGCCATTGCACTCCAGCCTGGGTAACAAGAGCGAAACTCCGTCTCAAAAAAAAAAAAAAAAAAAAAAAAAGACCATCCTGGTCAACAAGGTGAAACCCCGTCTCTACTAAAAATACAAAAATTAGCTGGGCATGGTGGTGAGTGCCTGTAGTCCCAGCTACTCTGGAGGCTGAGGCAGGAGAATTACTTGAACCCAGGAGGCGGAGGTTGCAGTGAGCCGAGATCGCGCCATTGCACTCCAGTCTGGGTAACAACAGCAAAACTCTGCCTCAAAAATAATAATAATAATAAAAATAAAATAAAATATTCCATGACAAATTGTGGAGTTGGCAACAGTTTTACGTTTTGTGTGTTGGAGGGGGAGATGGCATCTCGCCCAGGCTGGAATGCAGTGGTGTGATCCTGGCTCACCGCAGCTTCGAACCCCTGGGCCCAAGTGATCCTCCCACCTCAACCTTCCAAGTAGCTGGGACCACAGACGCGTGCCACTGCCCGCAGCTAACTTTTGTAATTTTCTGCAGAGATGGGGTTCTACTCTGTTGCCCAGGCTGGTCTTGAACTGGTCAAGATTTCTTGGGCTCAAGTATTCTTCATACCTCAGCCTCCCAAAGTGCTGGGATTACAGGTGTGAGCTACCGCACCTGACCAGTTTTACTTTCTTTTTTCTGAGACGGAGTCTCGCTCTGTTGCCCAGGCTAGAGTGCAGTAGCACAATCTCAGCTCGCTGCAACCTGTCTCCCAGGTTCAAGTGATTCTCCTGCCTCAGCCTCCTAAGTAGCTGGGATTACAGGTGCCTGCCACCATACCCAGCTAATTTTTTTGTGTTTTAGTAGAGACAGGGTTTCACTGTGTTGCCTAGGCTGGTCTTGAACTTCTGACCTCATGATCTGCCTGCCTTAACCTCCCAAAGTGCTGGGATTACAGGTGTGAGCCACCCCGCCCGATCCAGTTTTACTTTCTGTAAGAGCTTGCTTAGGTTTGTTGCAGAAGCTTTTGAGTGTCTTTTTAAAAAATTGCTCTCTGTGTTTTCACCTCTGAGCATTTGTTCAACCAAAGCAGCTCATGGAAAGGGACAAGGTGGGGCAGGGGCTGAAAACCCTCAACCTGGGGCCCTGGCCCTGGCCTGGTTCTGTGACCTATTCCAGCTCCTCCTTCCCATCCTGTGGCCCCAGCACCTGCCCGACCCCAGCACCTGGCTCACAGCACGACTCTGCCCTATCTCATGGTCACCATCACGGATCATCAAAGCTTACTTAGGTCAGAACAGATCTTTTATTAATGGCCAGATAATAGATAAGAGACATTCTTGAAATTTCCTTGTTAATTTTTCTAGTCAACTCTAGAATTTATTTTAAATTCTAAAAATTTAATGGTGATTTTCTTATGATACAGGATTTGGGGCACTTTAAAAGCTAATAAAGGAAGAAAAAGTTTAATTGTTAAATTATCATTACCCCATGACACCATTTAGCCTTGAAGTGAGTTAACCTGTCCAAGGACTGGTAAGACCAACTCGGGGGAAGAGTCTAAACTTTTTTTTTTTTTTTTTTTTTTTTGAGACGGAGTTTCGCTCTTGTTACCCAGGCTGGAGTGCAATGGCGCGATCTCGGCTCACCGCAACCTCCGCCTCCTAGGTTCAGGCAATTCTCCTGCCTCAGCCTCCTGAGTAGCTGGGATTACAGGACATGCACCACCATGCCCAGCTAATTTTTTGTATTTTTAGTAGAGACAGGGTTTCACCATGTTGACCACGATGGTCTCGATCTCTTGACCTCGTGATCTACCCGCTTCGGCCTCCCAAAGTGCTGGGATTACAGGCTTGAGCCACCGCGCCCAGCCTTTTTTTTTTTTTTTTTTTTAAATAGGGTCTCACTCTGTTGCCCAGGCTGTGGTGCAGTGGCATGATCACAGCTCACTGCAGCCTCAGCCTTCTGGGCGATCCTCCCACCTCAGCTGCCCAGGTAGTTGGGACCACAGACATGCACCACCATGCCCAGCTAATTTTTGTCTTGTTTTTTTTTTTCTTTTTATTTGTCTTGTTTTTTCTTTTTTGTAGAGATGGAGTTTCACCATGTTGCCTTGGCTGGTCTTGAACTGCTGAGCTCAAGTGATCCACTGGCCACGGCCTCCCAAAGTGCAGGGGTTACAAGCATGAGGTGCCGTGCCCAGCCTAAAACCCTTTCGATGTGCTAGAACTTTTCCTAAGGCTCAGGTGAGGCAACCGTAGACTTTGATGAATGTCTTTTAACTTGGGTGATTTTTTTTTTCCCTGATAATATCAGTATCTAGAATCTGTGAGGCCTCTCATGAAGGAAGAGGACTTCAAACGGATGACGGCACTTGCTCAAGATTTTGCTGTCAGTCTTGGACCAAGATTACAGTGGTATCTGAAGTTGAAATCCTGGTGGGCTACAAATTACGTAAGTCTGTATACACAGTTTTTCTCCATGAAATTTTTCTGTATGAAGATGCTAATTTTGAGGGGCAGGGATAACTGTTTTGATGAGCCAGAATCCCACCTTAGGAAGTTCCAGCGATGGTTTTACCTGCGTGCAGAGTGGGGTGTATGTGTGTTAGGACTGATGCATAGTGACAGTGACAGTTTCTTGGTTTTGGGATTTTTTTTTTTTTTTGTAGAGACAGGGTGTCACTGTGTTGCCCAGACTGGTCAGACTCCTGGGCTCAAGTGATCCTCTCACCTGGCCTTCCAAAGTGCTGGTATTACAGGCACGAGCCACCGCGCCCAGCCTACAGGGATAGTTTACCGTGAGTGTGCTGTGATTTGCACATGGGAGCCCTCTCCCTCTTCCCCGGGAGTCCTCCTGTGAGCTGTTTCTCCTGCAGCGGTGCCAGGCTGCCCCAGAGACCTGCTCCTGTCTGTCTCTTTGGTTTCTCTTGATTCCAAAGGCATCCTTCCCGAGCTTGCTGGTGGATGCAGGGATGGTGTGGGATAGGGCAGTGCTGATCGCCCCTTGCTGGGGTCAAGTGTGGCTCAGTGGTCCCAGGAACATCCCCTCCAACGAAGCGTCTTAGTGGTCGCCCTGTGTGCCAGGAGACAGGTGGGCTTCCACATTCTGGGAGGGCAAGAGCAGGCCTCTGGCAGATGAAGCAAGGGAGGGAGTCTAGCTTTGAGGAACAGCTAACACGGGAGAGGTGTCCAAAGGGACCCTGACAGAACCAGTAGGTGGTGCTAGAAGTCACATCATGGGTGGATGGGCAGGGCCTGCAGGGGTCTCTCGAGGGGAGCTGGGCATGTTCTGTTTTCCTTCTTTGATGGTGGCATGGGTGTGTTGGCTGTGTAAATAGCAGCTCCCTGCTGCACGCAACACCCTTGCATGGGCACTGTTCTGTAGGTACATGCGTTTCAGCACAAAGCTGGAAAGGAAGCAATCCCTGGGTCCAGCAGACTAGGAAGGAACAGCAGCTGTGAGGTGGTTGGGGGCCTGGCTTTGGGTGGCCTCAGGACACAGGTGCCGGGGAATAGAGACAACACCTCCAGAATGCCAGGTCAGTGCCTTGGACTGAGACGGTGGCTTCTTCAGGGAGACCTGGGAAGCAGGAAGACGAGAAGCACTCTGTGGAGCAATTTCGCATAACATTTTGTTTTGTTTTGTTTTGTGTTTGAGAGGGAGTCTCGCTCTGTCACCCAGGCCGGAATGCAGTGGCGCAATCTCAGCTCACTGCAATCTCCACCTCCCGAGTTCAGGCAATTCTCCTGCCTCAGCCTCCTGAGTAGCTGGGATTACAGGCGCTTGCCATCATGCCCAGCTAATTTTTGTATTTTTAGTAGAGATGGGGTTTCATCATTTTGGCCAGGCAGATCTGGAACTCCTGAGCTCAAGTGATCAGCCTGCCTTAGTATCCCAAAGCTCAGGGCTTAACAGGCATGAGCTACTACACCGGGCTTTTGTTTCTGTTTTCTTTTATTTGAGAAAGGGTCTTGCTCTGTTGCCCAGGCTGGAATGCAGTGGCATGATCATAGCTCACTGTCACCTCAAACTCCTGGGCTCAAGTGACCCTCCTGCCTCATCCTCCCAAGTAGCTGAGACTATGGGCGTGAGCCACCACACCTGGCTGATTTCTTTTTTTTTTTTTTTTTGAGACAGTTTCCCTCTTGTTACCCAGGCTGGAGTGCAATGGCGCGATCTCGGCTCACCGCAACCTCCGCCTCCTGGGTTCAGGCAATTCTCCTGCCTCAGCCTCCCGAGTAGCTGGGATTACAGGCACGTGCCACCATGCCCAGCTAATTTTTGTATTTTTAGTAGAGACGGGGTTTCACCATGTTGACCAGGATGGTCTCGATCTCTTGACCTCGTGATCCACCCGCCTCGGCCTCCCAAAGTGCTGGGATTACAGTCTTGAGCCACCGCGCCCGGCTTGGCTGATTTCTTAAATTGTTTTGTAGAGGTGGAGCTTCACTGTGTTGCCCAGGCTGGCTTCAAACTCCTGGCATCAGGTGATCCTCGTCTCAGCCTCCCAAAGTACTGAGATTCCAGCTGTGAGCCACCATGCCCAGCCCATAGTACTGGTTTTTATTTTTATTTATTTATTTTTTTGAGACGGAGTTTCGCTGTTGTTACCCAGGCTGGAGTGCAATGGTGCCATCTCGGCTCACCGCAACCTCCGCCTCCTGGGTTCAGGCAATTCTCCTGCCTCAGCCTCCGGAGTAGCTGGGATGACAGGCACACGCCACCACGCCCAGCTAGTTTTTTTGTATCTTTAATAGAGACGGGGTTTCACCATGTTGACCAGGATGGTCTCGATCTCTTGACCTCGTGATCCACCCGCCTCAGCCTCCCAAAGTGCTGGGATTACAGGCTTGAGCCACCGCACCCGGCTAGTACTGGTTTTTAAAACTCGTTAGCAGTCCAACATTTATGAGTTACTTTCCATTTGGTCTTTTAAAAATTTTTTTATTTTAATTTTATTATTTTTAATGTAGAGCTAGAGCCTTGCTGTGTTGCCTAGCCTGGTCTCAAACCCCTGGCCTCAAGCAATCCGCCCACTTTGGCTTTTTTTTTTCCCTTTTGACCTTCTACAAAGTGAAGGTGACTACCTTCTTTCTGCCTGTCTCAACTTCAAAGGAACACTTCGCGTGTCCCATGGTGTCGCATTCCATCTCGTTAGGACTGCATTCCCTGTTCTGGAATGGGCCCCGTTAGACACGGGAATGTCTGCCAAAAGCATCGCCTGCCCTTCCCCGCGGCTCTGGGCAGCTGCCGGGGAGCCTGCCCGGCCCACTGAGCCTGCGGGTTTGTCTGGTGTTTGTGCCCACTAGGTGAGCGACTGGTGGGAGGAGTACATCTACCTCCGGGGACGAGGGCCGCTCATGGTGAACAGCAACTACTACGCCATGGTGAGTCCTCCAGCCCGGCCGGCTGTCTGGTGGGGGTGGTGGGGCGGCGGGTCTGTCCACAGAGGTGGCATCTTCACAGGCCCGTGGGCGGCCTCGGAAAGCTCCGGGGATCGGCTCCTGCTCCTCCCTGTCCTGCTTCCAGGCTGGAGAAGCTTGTGAGTGCCCTTCAGTATCAGTCTAGCAGCCCAGGGTGCTCTGCTTCTGCAGGGGGGGTTGGGTTGCAAAAATAAGTCTGTGGCAAGCAGCAATTCCTCACTGTGCTGTACCTGTCCCGCTGTTTTTCTGGTTTTTGTTTTTGTTGTGTTTTGGTTTTGAGACAGAGCTTCTCTCCTGTCACCCAGGCTGGAGTGCAATGACGCCATCGGGCTCACAGCAGCCTCCGCCTCCTGGGTTCAAGCGATTCTCCTGCCTCAGCCTCCCAAGTAGCTGGGATTACAGGCACCCGCCACCATGCCTGGCTAATGTTTGTATTTTTTTTTTTTTTTTTTTTTTTTTGAGACGGAGTTTCGCTCTTGTTACCCAGGCTGGAGTGCAATGGCGCGATCTCGGCTCACCGCAACCTCCGCCTCCTGGGCTCAGGCAATTCTCCTGCCCAGCCTCCTGAGTAGCTGGGATTACAGGCACGTGCCACCATGCCCAGCTAATTTTTTGCACTTTTAGTAGAGACGGGGTTTCACCATGTTGACCAGGATGGTCTCGATCTCTCGACCTCGTGATCCACCCGCCTCGGCCTCCCAAAGTGCTGGGATTACAGGCTTGAGCCACCACGCCCGGCCATGTTTGTATTTTTGATGGAGATGGGATTTCACCATGTTGGCCAGGCTGGTCTCAAACTCCTGACCTCACGTGATCCGCCCACCTCAGCCTCCCTGCATGCTGGGATTACAGGCACGAGCCGCTGTGCCCAGCCTGTCCTGCTGTTTTTATGACTTAACACTGGAACTTAGTGCCACAGTGGGCTTGAAATCCCTGCAGAACCCCAGGGCTCAGGGACAGTGGATCAGCGAAGACCCTGCCACCGACGCCCTGTGCTGCATACTTCTGCTTCCTGAGACGCCAGAGGGGTGTGCATCCAGGGTAGTTTCATGTTTCCTGGGCTTCGTCTATAAAGCATGGATGGTTAGAAGACCCCTCACTTTGGGATCTCAACCACTGGTTTATTAAGTGGCAAATAGAATTCTCTTTCCTTCTATTCCTTCACTTCCTTCTTTTTGTTTTATGCCACTATCAAGGACTTGAACACTGCCTTCTATTTTTTCTCCTCGTTTATTTTTTCTTCATCATTTACTTTTTTCTTTTTTTTTTTTTTTTCTTTTTTTGAGATGGAGTCTCACTCTGTTGCCAAGTCTGGAGTGTAGTGGCACGATTCTGCTCACTGCAGCCTCCCATTCCAGCAATTCCCCTGCCTCAGCCTCCCGAGTACTTAGGATTACAGGCGATTGCCACCATGCCTGCTTAATTTTTGTAGTTTTTAGTAGAGACGGGGTTTTGCCGTATTGATCAGGCTGGTCTTGAACTCCCGACCTCAGGTGGTCCGTGCACCTCGGCCTCTCAAAGTGCTGGGATTACTGGCGTGGCAAGCCACCACACCCGGCCTATCATTTGCTTTTTCTGTTTTTCTTTGTTTCAAAATTTCCCTTTTTCTCTTAACTTCCCCCCCCCCCCATCTGAAATATCTCAACCTGAAAGAAAAACCATCATTCTAGTCTGCAGACTTCTTTTCCCGCTCTATTTGTGAGTGAGCTGTTTATCTCACGCCCTTCCCGCTGGGAGGCTTGTGTTCGTTTCCTACAAATAGAGGCACTTTCTACATCACTGGGGACTCGGTGTGCGCATAGACGCTTCCAAAATGTAGGTTAGGCCTGTCTCCCTTGGCTTTTCCTCGAATTGTAGAAAATGCAGACATTTGGAGCAGGGTCTGAGAATTCAGAAAGTTGCAGGCCTGGCTCTATATAAACAGTTATTTCAACCTTTCGTCTGTCTCATTCAGAAAACCTCTTCCTTGTCTCATTGCTCCCTAGTTTTTGCTTAGCTTTCTCTGTGTTACGTGAGGATATTTGGTGCAAATAGTTATCCTTAATAGCCCAAGAATTTGGGAGGACATATGTTCTCCTAAAACATTAACGAAGTTTAAAAGACAAAGTGTAGATAATCAAATGATCATGTATTTTGTAGCATTGCAGATGTAACTGGATACATCTCTAGAAATATTTTGGCAGTGCACAGGGTGTGCTGTGATATATTTAACTTTGCGTGTTCCCTATGCAGATTCTCTCCATGTCACCTTTTTCGCTTTTCAGGATCTGCTGTATGTTATTCCAACTCACATTCAGGCAGCAAGAGCGGGCAACGCCATCCACGCCATCCTGCTGTACAGGCGCAAACTGGACCGGGAGGAAATCAAACCAGTAGGCAAACACATTGCTTTAAAAAATTCTTGTAAAACAGCTTTACAGAGGTATAACTGACGTATTGTACATGTTGAAAGTATACTGTCTGTGGCAGAGCACCGTGGCTCATGCCTGTAATTCCAGCACTTTGGGAGGCTGAAGCAGGCAGATCATCTAAGGTCAGGAGTTCATGGCCAACATGGTGAAACCCCATCTCTACTAAAAATACAAAAATTGCCGGGCGCGGTGGCTCAAGCCTGTAATCCCAGCACTTTGGGAGGCTGAGGCGGGTGGATCACGAGGTCGAGAGATCGAGACCATCCTGGTCAACGTGGTGAAACCCCGTCTCTACTAAAAATACAAAAAATTAGCTGGACATGGTGGCGCGTGCCTGTAGTCCCAGCTACTCAGGAGGCTGAGGCAGGAGAATTGCCTGAACCCAGGAGGCGGAGGTTGCGGTGAGCCGAGATCGCGCCATTGCACTCCAGCCTGGGTAACAAGAGCGACACTCTGTCTCAAAAAAAAAAAAAACAAAAAACAAAAATTAGCTGGGCATAGTGGCACACGCCTATAATCCCAGCTACTTGGGAGGCTGAGGCAGGAGAATCATTTGAACCTAGCAGGCAGAGATTGCAGTGAGCCAAGATCATGCCATTGCACTCCAGCCTGGGTGATAAGAGCAAAACTCCGTCTCAAAAAAAAAAAAAAAAAAAGTTAAAAAATAGAGTGTACAGTTTGATAACTTCTGATGTGTATATACTGATGCACCTGAGAAACCATCATCACCGCAGCCAGGATGGCAAATACATCAGTCACCCCCAAACCCCCCTCTGCCTTTTGTCATTTCTCCCTCCCATCTGGTCCTGGACCCCCAGTCTACTATCTATCACTCTAGATTAGTTTGCAGTTTCCAAAGCTTTACGTAAGTGGAATTTTACGGTATACACTCTTTTTTCTAAATTCTAGTTTCTTTCACCCAGCCTAATTATTTTGAGATGTAATTCTCCTTGTGTCTCCTAAATAAATATATATCTGTGGTACTTTAGTTCTGTAATCTGCCCTTCAAAGAAGCCCTTGTTTTTGAACTAATAATCCTGGCTGGTGAGTTGCTTGTGAGAAACAAAACATTTCTTCCTTAAATAGTTCTTTGGTTTTAAGTGTCAGTTATAAATAATCAATTAGGCTGGGCATGGTGGCTCACACCTGTAATCCCAGCACTTTGGGAGGCCGAGGCAGGCAGATCACAAGGTCAGGAGATCGAGACCATCCTGGCTAACATGGTGGAACACCATCTCTACTAAAAATATAAAAAATCAGCCGGGCGTGGTGGCACGCATCTGTAGTCCCAGCTACTCAGGAGGCTGAGGCAGAAGAATCACCTGAACCCAGGAGGCGGAGGTTGCAGTGAGCCGAGGTCGCACCAGTACACTCCAGGCTAGGCATCAGAGCGAGACTCCGTCTCAAAAAATAAAATAAAATAAATAAATAATCGATTAGACTGTGTTATTTAGTATTTAACCATACAGGAAGTTGCACCCTGGCATGGTTTAACGAGTCCCCCAACAAAGCATTCCGGGGAGCCACTGGGAAAGCTGAAGTCAAACCAAGCAATTTGTGCGGAAAATGCATTCGGCATTTCCACCCGTGGTCTGGCCGCGTCTGTTCTGCGGGATGTTCGTTGTTGGCTTGGAATCTGTTTCTCTTACAGATTCGTCTTCTGGGATCCACCATTCCACTCTGCTCGGCTCAGTGGGAGCGGATGTTTAATACTTCCCGGATCCCAGGAGAGGAGACAGGTGAGTGAGGCTTCGCCGGGCTCCCTGGGGACTGGGCACTTTCCAGCCCTGTGCTCAGAATTAGGAGCTGTCAAAGGAAGTGCCCGAGGGGCCTCATTGTTTTCTGCTGCTTTCCTGAGATTATAGGCTATGATAGCAGATTCCTTCTGCTGAATTTCCTTCGTCTTTATTAGGCCTGGACTGTTATTTCCAGATCTTAATTTCTCTTTGGTTGAAGACTGTCGACTGTCTTATAGAGTGTTTCACCTTTTTTTTGTTGTTGTTTGCGACGAGGTCTCTCTCTGCCACCCAGGCTGGAGTGCAGTGACATGATCACAGGCTCACTTCAGCCTCCACCTCCTGAGCTCCAAGGGATCCTCCCATCTTAGCCTCCCCAGTAGCTGCAACCACAGGCACATGCTATAATACCCGGTTAATTTTTGCATTTTTTATAGCGATGAGGTTTTGCCGTGTTGCCCAGGCTGCTCTCAAACCCCTGGACTCAAGTGATCCGCCTGCTTCAGCCTCCCAAAGTGCTGGGATTACAGGCATGAGCCACCGCGCCCGGCCTCGGGTAATTAGTTTGAGGTCGCAGTCTAATGAGTGACGAAGCTGAGCAAAGAAGTCAGGCCTGTCCTGACCCAGAGCTTTGACTCCGTGCTAGGACTAGGCTCCTGAGGCTGCCTGGTGGGACACAGAGGAGGGACCCCGTGCCCTTTAAACGGTCAGGGTGGCCGGGCGCGGTGGCTCAAGCCTGTAATCCCAGCACTTTGGGAGGCCGAGGCAGGTGGATCACGAGGTCGAGAGATCGAGACCATCCTGGTCAACATGGTGAAACCCCGTCTCTACTAAAAATACAAAAAATTAGCTGGGCATGGTGGCGCGTGCCTGTAATCCCAGCTACTCAGGAGGCTGAGGCAGGAGAATTGCCTGAGCCTAGGAGGCGGAGGTTGCGGTGAGCCGAGATCGCGCCATTGCACTCCAGCCTGGGTAACAAGAGCGAAACTCCGTCTCAAAAAAAAAAACAAAAACGGTCAGGGTACATACAGTGCACTCAGCCCGAGATGAACTTGTGACTCTTGATGTTGTGTCTCCGACCCGCGGTGCGCTCAGACACCATCCAGCACATGAGAGACAGCAAGCACATCGTTGTGTACCATCGAGGGCGCTACTTCAAGGTCTGGCTCTATCATGACGGGCGGCTGCTGAAGCCCCGGGAGATGGAGCAGCAGATGCAGAGGATTTTGGACGACCCCTCAGAGCCTCAGCCCGGGGAGGCCAGGCTGGCGGCCCTCACCGCAGGAGACAGGTGCGTGGCCCGGGGTCCCTTGTCCCGTGGTGAGGGGTGGGGAAGGCGCTCCTCCTCACCGGGGGCCATCCCCTTCGGGGCCTGTGGGAACACTGGCACGGGGCTCCCCACCTCGGCTCTGTCTTGCTCTGGGGTCTTGGGTCCCAATCCCTGCCCAGCGGATCTCAACAGCAGTGGGGACATGGTCACCCCTGTGTGTGTTGCGCAGATGCATGTGGAGACACTGCAGAGTCTAGGACAGGGAGACCTGAGGATTAGGATTAGGCTTTTTCTTTTTTTGAGATGGCGTCTCACTCTGTCACCCAGGCTGGAGTGCACTGGTGCCATCTTGGCTCACCGCAACCTCCGCCTCCCAGGTTCAAGCAATTCTCCTGCCCCAGCTTCCCAAGTAGCTGGGATTACAGGCATGGGCCACCATGCCCAGCTAACTTTTGTATTTTTAGTACAGACAGGGTTTCACCATGTTGTCTAGGCTGGTCTTGAACTCCTGACCTCAAATGGTCCACCCACCCCGGCCTCCCAAAGTGCTGGGGTTACAGGCGTGAGCCACCATGCCCAGCCAGGATTAGGCTTTCTTACGGGGCTGTGGGCATATTTATTAATTTAGAAAACGGAGCAAATTGAAACCAAGGCTCCTGTGTTACAGTTACATTTCCTTGCCTCAGTGAAAAAGAATCAGGCCAGGTATAGTGGCTCACGCCTATAATTCCAATGCTTTAGGTGCTAAGACAGGAGGGTCACTTGAGCCTAGGAGTTTGAAACCAGCCTGGGCAACAGAGTGAGACCCCATCTCTACCAAAAAAATAAAAAATAACCAGGCATGGTGGTGCGTGCCTGTAGTTCCAACTATTTGGGAGGCTGAAGCAGGAAGACTGCTCGAGCCCAGGAGGTCGAGGCTGCAATAAGCCATGATCGAGCCATTGCACTCCAGCCTGGATGACAGAGTGAGACCCTGTCTCAAAAAATAAAAAAGAGAATCAACCCGAGCTTTGTTTTCTGGAGGAGGCGTGTGTATTGTGTAGCAGGGTTTCTCACCTCGGTCGGTGCTGTGCACACGCAGGGCCGGTAGTTCTTTGTGGGGGGGGCCACTGCCCTGGGTAGTGTCGGATGCTGAGCAGCAGCCCCAGCCTCTGCCCGCTGGATGCCGGCAACAACCTGTGTGACAACCAGAAGTGTCTCAGACATTGCCCAGTGTCTGGAGGACACTGTCATCCCCGGCTGAGAGCTGCTGGGTTCCAGCCATGTGACAACTTCGAGGCTAGTGCTGGGAGTGAGGCGGGAGGGGCGGGCGGCAAAGATCAGGAGGGGCTCTGTGCTGTGTGGAGGGGCCGCAGGTGGGCTGTGTCTTGCAGAGGGTGGGAGCAGGTAAGGAGGATGATGGGTGTCCAGCAGGTGGAGCCATGTGCCCTGGGGCAGCAGAGCAGGCAGGAGCTGTGGAGCAGGCTGCATGGCTGGGCCACTGTGCCAGGCTGGGGAGGGTCATGGGCACCCGACCGTATTTGAGCTTGATTCTGCGACCAGGTCTGCTTCAGGCGGTGCGCGGTGGGGTGGGGGGCGCACGAGTAGGTTAATTCAGGAGATTCTTCTGGTTGGGCAGGAAGGAGGGGCCCTGGACACAGGGATGCTTTTCGGTGGCCCAAGTAGCGAGGGCCTGACAGAGGGCCAGGGCTGGAGGCAGGAGCAGGGTGGGGATGTGTGCAGGAAAGCCGGCATTGTTCAGTGTCCGCCGTGGCGTTGACAAGGCTGGAAAGAGCAGCCGTAGGAGATGCATCTCTAGTGAAGCTGTGCTCGCCCGATGGGCTCTTCTGAGAGCCTGGAATCCCCAGCGGAGGAGGCATGGGGAGCCTGAGCAGGTGCTGTGGGGCCCGGGCTCCCTGTGGGTCTGTAGGTGCCTCAGTCCTGATGTCCCCTCTGGATAGGCCACATCAGCATCTTACCCATGGGAGTCCATGCGAAAGGCTCCATACATGCTGGCCACCATCACCGTCACCTTTGTCCCCTGGGTAGGGTATGCACTGGGGCCTGGCGTGTGTCTAGGTGTATTGGCCCTGTGGGCCGCCATGGCCAAGAACTCACAGAGAGAAGTAGGGGAAAGAGAGCCAGATGGCCACGATCTGGAAGGGTGGGCAGGGGCAGAGGGCCCTGGAGGAGCTGGAGTGAGAGGGACCCAGGAGCGTTAGAGGAAGCCCCGCCGGTGCATCTCATAAGAAGGCAGTGGGCATCACATCCGTTCTGTGTATTCCAAATAAACAGCCACGGGGCCTCCTTGTGGAGGGGTCACATGGCCATTCATGGCATGCCTTGGGGGCTGATGGCCTGGGTTCCAACTCTGCCTCAAAATCGCTGTGACCTAATCTTTCTGTGCTTCAGTTTGTCATCTGAAAATTGGGTACAGTAGCATTGAGAAGATCGGTGAACTGGCACACAGAAAAGGTTTGGAGGCACAGCCTGGCGTGAGGGACGCACTCTTACTCGTTTACAGTGGCCTGGCTGCGGGAACTTACCTAGGGTGGTTCCTGTGGAGGGCAGCGAGGGCGTGTTGGGAAGCATGGAGCACGGTGCTCTGGGCCTGCTGCTTCCTGGAGGCTTTGCCCACAGGCCCAGCCTCATTCTGGTCGTCCGTTCAGTCAGCATTTATTGAACAAAAATTACCTGTGCTCTGGTCTGGAGACCAGCAGAGGGTGAGATGCCTTCCAGCAAACAGTCTCAGATGAGGAAAATCATCAACATGGAGTTTTCCTTCGAGAAATTCTGAAAAACCACAAAGGTTTGATTGTGTCATGGCAAATATCATGTGGCAGGAGATGCCGCCCCGTCGCTGCAGCTCCGGCTGCTTTAATCGTATTTCATCTTCACCACAGAGTTCCCTGGGCCAGGTGTCGCCAGGCCTATTTTGGGCGTGGGAAAAATAAGCAGTCTCTTGATGCCGTGGAGAAAGCAGCGTTCTTCGTGACATTAGATGAAACTGAGCAAGGATACAGAAGGGAAGACCCAGATACGTCAATGGACAGCTATGCCAAGTCTCTACTGCATGGCCGGTGTTACGACAGGTACCGTCCATACCTTTGGAGACACGGGAGTGTGCCCACGAGCTTGAAATAAATACCCTGGGCGGCTGACACTCTCCCCCTAGCATCTATACTGCTAAGGAAGAAGGTGGCATAAAAATACAGCCTTGCCGGGCGTGGTGGCTCAAGCCTGTAATCCCAGCACTTTGGGAGGCCGAGGCGGGTGGATCACGAGGTCAAGAGATCGAGACCATCCTGGTCAACATGGTGAAACCCCGTCTCTACTAAAGATACAAAAAAATTAGCTGGGCATGGTGGCGCGTGCCTGTAATCCCAGCTACTCGGGAGGCTGAGGCAGGAGAATTGCCTGAACCCAGGAGGCGGAGGTTGCGGTGAGCCGAGATCGCGCCATTGCACTCCAGCCTGGGTAACAAGAGTGAAACTCCGTCTCAAAAAAAAAAAAAAAAAAATACAGCCTTGAGTTTTCTTTCTTCTTTTTTTTTTTTTTTTTTTTTTTTTTTTTGAGACAGAGTCTCACTCTGCCGCCCAGGCTGGAGTACAGTGGTATGATCTCGGCTCACTGCAACCTTTGCCTCCCAGGTTAAAGGGATTCTCCTGCCTCAGCCTCCCGAGTAGCTGGGATTATAGGCATATGCCACCACACCCGGCTAATTTTGGTATTTTTCATAGAGACAGGGTTTCACCATGTTACCCAAGCTGGTTATGAACTCCTGATCTCAAGTGATCCGCCCACCTCGGCCTCCCAAAGTGCTGGGGTTACAGGCATGAGCCACCGCGCCCTGCCAACCTTCAGTTTTCTTCCCTCTGCCAAACCTGTCACACACACACAGCCTGAGCTGCACATTTGAGATTCTCCCCTTCTCTGCACATGACCACCTTGGTTTGGAGATGCTGTGAGCTGCAGGGCTGCCCAGTCCCTGGACTCAGGCAGGGGAGAGTGGCGGACACAGCTGGGCACAGGCTGTTGGCCCGGGGCTACCTCCCGTCCTGTTTTCCTTCTCTGTAAAGTTTTTTTTTTTTTTTTTTTCTTGTCTTTTTGTTTTTTTTCTTTTTGTGGAGAACGGGGTCTCGCTATATTGCCCAGGCAGGTCTCGAACTCCTGGGCTCAAGCTATCCTCCCGCCTCTGCCTCCCTAAGAGCTGGGATTACAGGCGTGAGCCACAGCGCCCGGCTCCTTCTCTGTAAAGCGCTGGCCAGCCTCCCTGCGGGGTGAGGACAAGGACTGGCTGATGAAGGGGTCAGTCATGAGCTCACAGAAAGAGCCTCTGACCTCTCCCTAGTGGCCTTGTGATAATAACAGGTCTGTCTTCAGGTTTCCAGGACATAAAGCGCTCATCTTTGTGTCTGGGACCGGGAAGAAGTTAGTAATTCAGTGTCCCACTCGTGCTTTCCTCTTCACTCTGCAGAGACTGAGCATCCAGTCGCTGTTAGAAGGGCAAAATAAATTGGTCCACCCAGCATGAAGCAGAGAGGAGTAACATCTGCTCATTTTTCCCTCTTCCAACACTTAAGTTCCATACGTGTGTGTGTTACGCAGGTGGTTTGACAAGTCCATCACGTTTGTTGTCTTCAAAAACGGGAAGATGGGCATGAACGCAGAGCACTCCTGGGCAGACGCACCAATCGTGGCTCACCTTTGGGAGGTGAGTTTTCACGCTTTTCCCTTGAACGTGGAAGTTGCTTTTGAAAATCCAAACCTGGCAGCGTGCGGTGGCTCACGCTTATAATCCCTGCACTTCGGGAGGCCGAGGCGGGCAGATCACCTGAGAGGTCAGGAGTTCGAGTCCAGCCTGGCCAACATGGTGAAACCCTGTCTCTACTAAAAATACAAAAATTAGCCAGGTGTGGTGGTGCGCACCTGTAGTCCCAGCTACCTGGGAGGCTGAGGCAGGAGAATCACTTAAACCCAGAGACAGAAGTTGCAATGAGCCGAGATCAAGCCACTGTAACCTGGGCAACAGAGCAAGACTCTGTCTCAAAAACAAAAAAGAAATCCAAACCCCACACTGAATTTAGTTTCGTAATATTTCTGTGATTATAGAATATGAATTTTTCACTCATACTAGTCATACACGTGAAGTTAAATCACTAAATTAAAGGCATCCTTGTCTTCATTTCTCCAACTCCTGGGTTCAAGCGATTCTCCCACCTCAGCCACCCTAGCAGCTGGGACCACAGGTGTGCGCCACCACGCCTGGCTAATTTTTGTATTTTTTTGTAGAGAAGGGGTTTTGCTATGTTACCCAGGCTGGTCTTGAACTCCTGGGCTCAAACAATCTGCCTGCCTCAGCCTTCCAAAGTGCTGAGATTACAAACATGAGCCGCCGCACGCAGCCTTGCTCTTGATTGATTTCTGATGTTTCTGCGTCAGGAGAAACATTTCTGATGTTTCTTCTGGAGCTGTAACTCAGAGCAGCTAGCACTTAATTAAGGCTGTTCCTTCACTGGCTCAGGTTGGCCTGGATCGTGACCCCCACGTATTAGTGGCGCCCTCCACCTGTCCCACCCCCTCGCCCACTAACAGTTAACCCCTGACCCTGTGTTGTTTTTACCGCCCTCACTAGAATGTAAGCTTCCTGCGCACAGGGATTCCTTTTTTAAAAAAAATTTAATTTTTTTAGTTGAGATATAAGTCACATACCTTAAAATCTGCTCTTTAGAAGTGTCCAATTCAGTGGTTTTAGTATATTCACAGGGTGGTTGTGCAACTGTTGCCACTGCTCAGCCTCCCGAGTAGCCAGGATTACAGGCACGGGTCACCACACCCAGCCAATTTTTGCATTTTTGGTAGAGGCAGGGTTTCCCCTTGTTGGCCAGGTTGGCCTTGAACTTCTGTCCTAAAGTGATCCACCCGCCTTGGCCTCCCAAAGTGTTAGGATTACAGGCATGAGCCACGCACCCATCCTAATTCAGTAATATTTTTATCACCTCCAAAAGAAACCCCTCATTCCGTTCCTCCCTGTGTTCCTGGTGAGCACTAATCTACTTTCTGTCTGTATTTGCCTATTTTGAACATCTTATGTGGATGGAATCATACAATGTGTGGTTTTCTGTGCCTAGCTTATTTTTTCTTTTCTTTTGCTTTGTTTTCTCTTCTTTCTTTTTTAGAGACAGGGTCTTGCTCTGTTGTCCAGGCTGGAGTGCAGTGGCACAGTCATGGCTCACTGTAACCTTGACCTCCTGGGCTCAAGTGATCCTCCCACCTCAGCCTCCTCAGTAACTGGGACTACGGCCATGTGCCACCACACTCTGGCTAATTCTTTAAGCTTTTTATAGAGATGAGATCTCACCATGTTGCCCAGCTGGTCTGGAACTCCCGGCCTCCAGCGATCCTCCCACCTTGGCCTCCCAAAGTGCTGGGATTACAGAAGTGAGGCGACGCGCCCACCTGCTTTTCACTCAGCATGATGTTTTCCAGGTTCATCATATTGTAACACATATCTGGGCTTCATTCTTTTTTAGGGCTGGATACTATCCCATTGTGTGGATCGACCATACTTGGTTTACCTCTTCATCAGCTGATGGGCATTTGGGCCGTTTGTACTCTTTGGCTATGACAAATAATGCTGCTATGAACATTCTGTGCAAGTTTTTGTGTGAATCTCTCTCTTCATTTCGTTTCATTGAGTATATACCTGGGAGCGAAATGAATGGGTTGTATAGGTATATTTCACTATTTAAGGAAGGGCAAGAATTCTTGTCTGTTTTGTTCACAAAACACACTTCTTGTCTGCTCTGTCGCCAGTGCTTAAATGGCATTGCCACAGTGGTTCCGACCCCCAGTGGGTGCCCAGTAAATAACCTGGCTTAGGTTTACCTGCCAGTGAAAAGAGCACCATGAACTTGAGCAAGCCATTAGCCCTCTGCTGTCCTCTCTCTGTCACATGCTCAGAGAGTTTCACACCTGACGTGGAGATCAGCTCCACCCAGTGCTGAGCATACAGGAAGCATTAGTGGCTGTGGTTCGATCTTTGCAACATCTCTGCAAAGAACAAGGCTCTGTCCGTGTTGGAGATTGAATGTGTCTTATGTACCACCGTCAGTTTGAATAATTTTGCTTTCTTTTTGACAGTACGTCCTGTCCACTGACAGCCTCCAGATGGGCTATGCGGAGGACGGGCACTGCAAAGGCGACACCAATCCGAACATTCCGTACCCCACCAGGCTGCAGTGGGACATCCCAGGGGAAGTAAGTCCAGATTATCCAACCATTGTTACTTACCTGGGATGGGAAACATATGTGAACTCTCACAAATGAATTTTCCAACTGTAGTTCCTGCCCGATCATGAGCTCAGCTGAAGACCACTGAGGCTGAAAGTTGTTTGCTCAGGGAGTTTCGTGAGGTCTGCGGGGCTGTCACAGCTCCTGTTCCCTCGGAAACCTCGGTAAATATTTATTCTTCTGTCTGAAGCTTTTGGCTAAGATTGTCAGTGGGATTTCCAGCTCAGACTTAACCAGACATCTATAAAATGCTGACAATCAAAAATGAAAGCCAAAATCACATAGGTTAGAGCTGAATGCCTCTAAATTGCTGATTTATAATTCTCAAAGTTTAATTCATTTTGGTACCTCTCAAACACTCTCAGAGGCAGCCCACTCACAGGAGCCCTTTGGAAAGGAATTTTAGGGTTGCAAATACCAAATCCCAGTTCACTTAATCCAAGGAGAAATTCCTAAAGTCCAAAATACCATTTTCTTTTTAAAAATTTTTATTTATTTGAAACAGTGTCTTGCTCTATCATTCAGGCAGGAGTGCAGTGGTGTAGTCACAGCTCACTGCAGCTTCAACTTCCCAGGGTCCAGCAATCCTCCCACCTCAACCTCCCAAGTACCTGGGACCACAGGTGCGTGCCACCATGCCCAGCTAATTTTTATGTTTTTGGTTGAGACGGGGTTTTGCCGCGTTGCCAGGCTGGTCTCAAACTCCTAAGCTCAAGCAAGCCACCCATCTGGCCTCACACAGCGCTGGGACTACAGGCATGAACCACCGCACACAGCCAGAAATAATTTTCCACATGGTGAGGTACTGTGTCTAGTGCAGTGGTCTTAGCCCATTGCTTCTGCTTGCCCTGTGGCCCTAGGGCTGGTGTGGGTTCTGCAGAGAGCTGTCACCTCCGCAAAGCCCTTGGGATTAGGGACATGGTAGCTGACCAAGTCACTTATCATTTATTTTTTAAAAATTTCTTTTAACAGACTTTATTTTTTAGAGCAGTTTTGGGTTCACAGCAAAACTGAGTTCCCATACACCCGTCTCCCCACACATACACAGCCTTCCCAACTATCCACATCCCCAACAGAGTGATGCCTTTGTTACAGCTGATGCACCTGCACCAACACGTCATTATCCCCCGAAGTCCACGGTGGATTTAGTCTTGGTGTTGTACATTGTCTGGGTTTGGACACATGGACAATTTGCCCTGTGTCTGCCATTACAGTGTCATACAAAGTCGTTTCACTGCAAAAACCTCTGTGCGTCACCTATGTATTCTTCCTTCCTGCTCGCCCCTGGCGACCGTGAATCATAGTCACTGTCCCCATAGTTTTACCTTTTCCAGAATGTCAGATACAGTAATTCCCCCCTGAGATTTCAATTCGAAGGTCCAAAAATATTAAACAGAAAATTCCGGAAGTCAACAATTCACGAGTTTTAAGTTGCATGCTATTCTGAGTAGCATGATGAAACCTCCTGCTACCCTGCGCGGTCCCACCCAGGATGGAGTCATCCCTTTGTCCAGTGTGTTCATGCTGTAGATGCTACCCACTTAGTGCTGTCTCGGTTATGAGCTGGAGGAAACACCGTCTCTGTAGTGTTCTGCGCTATCAGAGCTTTCAGACGTCCACCGCGGGTCTTACAATGGATCCACATGGATAGAGGGTTGCTGCTGTCATTGGAATCATCTGTGTGTAGCCTTTTCAGATTGGTTTCTTTCACTTAGTAATAACCATTTAAATTTCTTCCAAGTTTTTTCATAGCTTATGGCTCATTTATTCCTAGCGCTGAATAAAATTTCATTGTATGGTCGTCCATTTATTTTTTAAGATTTTTTTTCCTTTTTTCTTCTCATATGCAAAATACATTCAAAGATTTGTTTTTAAAAATGTGTTTCTCGGCTGGGCGCAGTGACTCACGCCTGTAATCCTAGCACTTTGAGAAGCCAAGGCGGGTGGATCACCTGAGGTCAGGAGTTCAAGATCAACCTGGACAACACGGTGAAATCCCATCTCCACTAAAAATACAAAAGTTAGCGGGGGCAGTGGTGGGCACCTGTAGTCTCAGCCACTTGGGAGACTGAGGCAGGAGAATCGCTTGAACGTGGGAGGCGGAGGTTGCAGTGAGCAGAGATGGCACCCCTGCATTCCAGCCTGGGCAACAGAGCGATACCCTGTCTCAAATAAATAAAAAATAAAAAGTAAAAAATGTGTTTCTCGATTGCCACTGTGTGACGACAGTGGGCTTAATGAGATGATGTGCGACTATCTGAAACACCCTCTGGGGTCTCACTGGAAGCCAGGGTGCCCCCATCCCTACCTATGTTCCTGTTAGCGGTGGAACGTATCCATGCCGGTCCCCAGCAACCTCAGTTCTGGCCTTCTCAGAACGAATTTGACTGAGGGGCAGAAGGCAGGAGAGACCAAAGCAAGTTTCAGATCTGGGGAGAAAGTTTATTAAAAAACTTGAGAGCAGGCATGAGAGAAGGAAAGTACATTTGGAAGAGGGCCAAGTGGCCAGATGGAGAGATCCGGAGCGCCGTCTGACCTTCTGACTTGAGGTTTTACACACTGGCATGCTTCCAGGGTCTTGTGTTAACTTGTCCCGATTCCTCCCCTGGGGTGGGCTGTCCGCGTGCACAGCGGCCAGCGCTTGGGGGAGGAGGGGGCGGCGCATGCGCGGTGTGGTTACAGGAGTCATGCGCATGCTCACTTGAGGCGGTCTCAGCCTTCCTAGAGGAAGGTCCTACGCCAGTTAGACGCCGGCATTTTGCCTCTCAATGCGCATGCTCGAGCCCGGTCGCGCAATGCCTGAGATTTTTTTAATCGGGAAGCTGCTGGTCACCAGCTCCAGGTGTTTCTTTTTCTTTCTTTTTTTTTTTTTTTTTTGAGTTGGTGTCTTCCTCTGTCACCCAGGCTGGTGTGCAGTGGCGCGATCTCGGCTCACTGCCACCTCCACCTCCCAGGTTCAAGTGATTCTCCTGCCTCAACCTCCCCAGTACCTGGGACTACAGGCGCCCACCACCACGCTCGGCTAATTTTTTTTTTTTTTTTGTATTTTTTGGTAGAGAGACGGGGTATTACCATATTGGCCAGGCTGCCCTCCAGCTCTTGACCTTGGGATCCACTTGCTTGGGCCTCCCAAAGTGCTGGGATTACAGGCGTTGGCCACCCACGGCCGGCCAGCTCCAGGTGTTTCTGTCTGTTGGGAGACTGCCATTCCCCGGCACCAGCTGTGACAAATTGTTATTTATTTACTTATTTATTTTGAGACGGAGTTTCCCTTTTGTTACCCAGGCTGGAGTGCAATGGCGCGATCTCGGCTCACCGCAACCTCCGCCTCCTGGGTTCAGGCAATTCTCCTGCCTCAGCCTCCTGAGTAGCTGGGATTACAGGCACGTGCCACCCTTGCCCAGCTAATTTTTTTGTATTTTAGTAGAGACGGGGTTTCACCATGTTGACCAGGATGGTCTCGATCTCTTGACCTTGTGATCCACCCGCCTCGGCCTCCCAAAGTGCTGGGATTACAGGCTTGAGCCACCGCACCTGGCCGACAAATTGTTATTTTAGAGAGACAGTTAACAACCACCTGACCGTCAGTGATGGTCCCTGACATCCCAGTGTGTGTCGGAGGAAGCCCTCTCCTGCCCTGCTCTGGTCAGGCCATCTACCTACTATAACGCGCCCGCTGCTCCTCGGAGCTCAGGGAGCCGTGCCCCTAACTTACTGGGGCCTCTGGGTCAAGAAGACGTCGGTGTATCTCCCAGTACCGAGTTTGTAGCTGCATGAAAAGCCAGCCTCCATTTCCTGCGGGGTATGTGCCAGTAACTTCTCTCCGCTCATTCCGCAAAAACCTTTTTCTTCTTTCTCTCAAGTGTCAAGAGGTGATCGAGACCTCCCTGAACACCGCAAATCTTCTGGCAAACGATGTGGATTTCCATTCCTTCCCATTTGAAGCCTTTGGTAAAGGAATCATCAAGAAATGTCGCACCAGCCCGGACGGCTTTGTGCAGCTGGCCCTCCAGCTGGCGCACTACAAGGTGACAACGACCGCCTCGGGTTTTCTCGTGAACACTTCGGAGGTTCCTACACCTGCCCAAGACTGTTCACCTAGTGGGGAGGGAATCACAGCCCGCTCCGGATCTCCGGGGCCGGGTGGTGTGGGGTGTTCCACCATGAACAGGCGCGAAGTTCGCAAACCCCAATCCAGCAGGTGTAGACTCCCATCTGACGCACGGGAGAGGGCGAGTCTGGGGGATGGGGACAAAGTGAGACCTCATCACTCTACAGAGGGAGAGTTAAGCCTCAAAATAAGCCTGGAATCCTAGCATTTGCTAGCATTTGTGAAAGTGGAAATACTCCTGGCAGGTAGGGGAAGAGTCAGTTATGTGTTCCTCTGGCGCTTGGTAAATCTGCACTTTACACAGGTCAGGTGAGCACAGAGTGGAAATTTTCTTTTTTTTTTTTTGAGACGGAGGTTCGCTCTTGTTACCCAGGCTGGAGTGCAATGGCACGATCTCGGCTCACCGCAACCTCCGCCTCCTGGGCTCAGGCAATTCTCCTGCCTCAGCCTCCTGAGTAGCTGGGATTACAGGCACGCACCACCATGCCCAGCTAATTTTTTGTATTTTTTAGTAGAGACGGGGTTTCACCATGTTGACCAGGATGGTCTCGATCTCTCGACCTCGTGATCCACCCGCCTCAGCCTCCCAAAGTGCTGGGATTACAGGCTTGAGCCACCGTGCCTGGCCGGAAATTTTCACCTTTCATCCTCACTCTCTGCTCGGGAACAAGATGAAATGCAGCTTCTTGCATGACTCAGCTTTCAGCTTAATCCTTTCCTTTTGGCAGAGTAAATCTTCCTTTCATGATACTAAATTAAATCATGATACTAAATTTTCATACAGTGGAATATTATACATTAAGTGATGTCTGTGGGCAGATTACTTAGCGTCTCTGGCCTTTGGCATCCCCTTCTGTAAAAGGGGAAATTCCAGCCACTTGGAGATGCCCTGGGCCGGATCCCCTGTATACAGGCAGAACAACGTGGTATTCCATCTCCTCCTTCGGAGCGCTGGCCATTTTTGGCTTGCACCTGACAACCGCTGTTGGAGGAGCGGCCTGCACCCCTAGCAGGGGCAGAAATGGGGATGTAAATAGGTCTTCTTGTCCCTTGGAGGAAGCATTCCATCCCAGAGCAGGTGGGCCCTTGGTTCCTAGGGGCAGCAGAAGTCATTGTGGCATTAGCTTGAAACAGTCCGAACTTTTTTTTTTTTTGAGACTGAGTTTCACTTCTGTTGCCCAGGCTGTGTTGGGTCCCAGTCCAACCCCATACGTGGGTGCCCTTAGTCCCGGCGGTGACGAGGGATTGAGAAAAGGAAATAAAGACAGAGACACGAGAGTAGAATTTACAGCATGGGTCCAGGGGACCGTCGCAAGAAAGGGAACCATGTTCGCCTGGAGCTCTGGGCTCCAAACACTTTTATTATGTGCACAATCTCATTGATCTTATGGGTGTGGAAGGGGAGGGCGAAGGAGTGGGTAAGATGGCCAGACAGAGAACACTTGAGATCCTTCTAAGACGTGCTAAACTAGAACTCTTGAGTTTACCACCAATTGTTATCAGGGTGCGGCTGCATCGTGAGGAGCCATGGGTTCCTGACCACACCCAATGCATCTAGGGGCTTTTATCTCCACAGCACCAGGACATAGAACAACTGAAATCACTCCATATTCCGAGAGCCTAGGCAGACCCTGAGGCGTTCCGTGATCTTCGCCCTGCAGGGCTTTTCTCCTCCCTGCCAGCTCCCATCTGCAAAGACCCTCCCGGATCTTGTGAGCAGAGGTCGCCTCCCTTCTGCTCACAAGAGGGAGGGGCTTTGCAGATGGGAGCTGGCAGGGAGGAGAAAAGCAGAGATCTTCGAGTAAGCCCTCTTCAGGAGGCCCTCATGCCGTCTCCACGCTGAGAAGGCATTTGCAGGACCAGAGCGGTATTCCCTGCTCTGCAGCCACCCCGAGGTGTCCCGGTGTTCCTGCGTTCTCAGATGCTCTTTACCTTAGGCCTCCTGTTGCTGCTTGATTTCTAATTAACAGCACCGATAATATAGTTTAGTTCAGTGTATAGACTTCAGTGTACTCTGAGCCAAGCAAGCTAATTATTTAGCTAGAATTAACATAGGTCTCCCCCTGGCCATCTTGACCCGAAGTGGGGGAGTGCAATGGTGTGATCTTAGCTCATTACAATCTCCACCTCCCGGGTTCAAGTGATTCTCCTGCGTTGGCCTCCCAAGTAGCTATGATGACAGGTGCCTGCCACCTCGACCAGCTAATTTTTTATACTTTTAGTAGAGGTGGGGTTTCCCCATGTTGAGCAGTCTGGTCTTGAACTCCTGGCCTCAGGTGATCCACCTGCCTCGGCCTCCCGAAGTGCTGGGATTACAGGTGTGAGCCACCGCGCCCGGCCTTTTAGTACATCTTAAAACTTGATGAAATGACTGTTCCGCAGGCTGTACAAATCAGTGACACCCACTCAAGGTAGGAAGCCTGAAGAGGTCTCTGGTCCATGGAGCAAAGTGAGAGGTTGTCAAGGAGCCACCCTGGTGACTCCAAAGAGCTTGCAGCTCAGAGACACCACAAAGAAAGGAAGCCACCCCATTCACGCTCTGGAACCCACATGGCCTGAGTGTGGGAATGAGCTGGAAGGGGCACCATCCACTGTGCCAAGTACTTTGCAGGAGCGAGTGAAACATCAGGGCAGTCCCGGAGGATGGTCTCTTCCTCTCTGCCTTACACACTCGGAGGTGAAGCGTCTTGCCTGAGGTCTGCAGCTCACATGTGGTGGGACTGAGATTGGACCCAGGAAGGCTCGTTCCAGAACCTGTGGCCTTCACCACTGTGCTGCAGCTAGACACAGAGAAAGGAAGCACAGACCAGCTCCCCTCATGAATGGAAATGCAGAGACCCCCAATGAAATCTTAGCAAATAGGGCCAGGCGCGGTGGCTCATGCCTGCAATCCCAGCACTTTGGGAGGCCGAGGTGGGCAGATCATGAGGCCAAGAGATCGAGACCAGCCTGACCAACGTAGTAAAACCCTGTCTCTACTAAAAATACAAAAATTAGCCAGGTGTGGTGGCCTGCGCCTGTAATCCCAGCTATTCAGGAGGCTGAGGCAGGAGAATCGCTCGAACCTGGGAGGTGGAGGTTTCAGTGAGTCAAGATCATGCCACTGCACTCCAGCCTGGGCCACAGAGCGAGATTCCATCTCAAAAAAAATTTTAAAAAAAATTTAAAAAGTTAAAAAATCGGCCAGGCCTGGTGGTTCACGCCTTTAATCTAAGCACTTTGGAGGCCAAGGCGGGCAGATCACCTGAGGTCGGGAGTTCATGGACCAGCCTGACCAACTTGGTAAAACCCCATCTTTTCTAAAAAAATAAAATAAATAAAAATAAAAAGTAAAAAATCTTAGCAAGTAGAATCTAGCACTGTAGGAAAAGAATAGTCACCGACAGTGGCCACACCAGCGGCGAGAGGCCGGCTTTGTGTCAGTAAACCCAGTCATACACTAAACCATACTGCTGGGTCAGAGAAGAGCCTCGATCATGAGTTTCACAGGTCCTAAGGAGATGTTTCACATTTAACATCCATTCCTGATAACAACTCTTGGTCAAGGGCCTTAGTAATAGGGCTCTTTCCTTAACAGGATAAATGGCATCGTGTATTAATAGCTAGCCTATTGCTTCAAGGTAAAAGTGTGGGAGGCGGCTCCATTAAAACCAGAAAGATGAGGATGCCTCCAGCAGCTGACAGGGTAATCGGGCAGGAGGAACAGCAGAAAGGCTTTCAGGATTAAGAGGGACGCTCAGCGAGCAGGCTTGGCGCAGAGTCGCACACAGACCAGCAGCTTTCTTGCATAAGGACAATGGCCAAGTGGGAAATAAAATAAGAGAGTGTAATAGAAACTAGAATCTGGGGACCCCACCCCCAGGCATATGTGTATAAAGCAGACTGGACTCTGGGAAGAAGGCTGAGGACCACCCACCCCCAACTGCTCCCCAGGGAGAGGGAGAAAAAGCCATGATTTTGGATTTAAAAAAACTTTAGCACCATAGAGCTGGGGATGTTTCCAGTTCACACTTTTTTTTTTTTTTTTTTTTAAGATGAGTGCAGTGGCATGATCTCAGCTCACTGCAACCTCCACCTACCAGGTTCAGGTGATTCTCCTGCCTCAGCTTCCTGAGTAGCCGGAACTACAGGTGCCTGCCACCACGCTCGGCTAATTTTTTGTATTTTTAGTAGAGACAGGGTTTCACCATGTTGGCCAAACTGGTCTCGAACTCCTGACCTCAAGCGGTCCACCAGCCTCAGCCTCTCAAAGTGCTGAGATTACAGGCATGAGCCACCGCGCCGGCCCAGTTCACACATTTAATATGAACAGAGTGAGAGGTCCGGCAGGGGCTTCAGGAGAGGTGCTTGCCCCATTGATCTCGAAGCTTGTCTGAAAAGGTTAACATCTGAGAGTCACCCACAACATTCTTGAAAAGTAAAGCAATCAGGTGGAGGCGGGACAGGAGGCGGTGGACATGCACTTTTCAAAGCCTAAAACTCAAAATGTAGGCGTTAGAAGATTGTAGAGATTAATTTAAAGTGGTCTCACTTCTATGATCCCAGCACTTTGGGAGGCTGAGGCAGGTGGGTCACTGAGCCCAGGAGTTTGAGACCAGACTGGACAATATGGCGAGACTCTGTCTGTACAAAAAATACAAAAAAAGTTTAGCCCAGCATGGTGGCGCATGCCTGTAGTCTAAGGTACTCGGGAGGCTAAGGTGAGAGGATCACTTGAGCCCAGGAGGTCGAGGCTGCAGTGAGCACTGCACTACAGCGTGGATGACCGCAAGATTCTAGCTTCAAAACAATTTTTTAAAATAAAAGTAAGATGCTGGAGTCCTCATACAGGAAATTACGTGATGAAGGGAGCCTTTGGCATCGCTGGGGGTGGGGAGCTGATGAGTAAATGGAGTTGGGAAATCTGGCGAAGTGATT